TGGGGTGAAAAAATTACGAAATTTGCGGGTGAAAGTGAAATATGGCTAAAAAGTTCTCGTGAGTACCAAACTTCGACGTTGGCACCGTTGACGAGGGAAAGGGACGGCTGAACCCTGCTCGCGAAAAAAATAAAATTCAGCACGCACCGCAGGAGGAAGGTGCATGAAAAGAAATAAAAAGAAGAAAAAAGCCCTGGTGTTTACCCCCTCCTGTGTGACCCTGGATGGTTGTAGTTGTACGAAAAAATACACTGAAAAGTGTAGTACTCTACATACATACGCTGAAGAGTGTAGTACACGTCTCAACACGAAAAATGGGGGGACTGTCGCCACAATGAATAGGACGAAAACACACAACACACCCCCCCTCTCTGATCCGTTCACCGCTTCACCGCCGGTTGCACCAACAGCAGTTCTAGGCCACCAATTCAAAGCAGCGTCCACGTACCTTCCTCTCGCCACACCGTCGCTGGTATATGTGTATGTAGGCATTGTGGAGTTCTATGTCCGCGACTGCTGCAACCATGCCGCCGAGACGAGAGAGATCGTGAAAGGAGTCCACAAACAGAAGGAGGCCGTCGTCAGGCAGTGCCGCATGCTGGCCGGTCTGCAGCTGACTAGGATAGACAAGAACGCGGTCTACGACGACAGGGAGTTCGCGAAGCAGCAGGCCGATCACTGTGTGGGCGTGCGCCGCAAGGTGCGTGCATAGAGCAGGACCTAAATGTTGATGTGTGGTATTACAGCAGGTTTAGGCACATGCTTCGAAATCACCAGCACGTGACTGGTCGTACGACAGCCTTATCTACCGCCGAACTCACGTGCAAATAGTAGGAGTGGCTGACCAAACCAAGACAACGTACTGTGAGGATATAGTCTACCGCGGTGTACAGAAGTTGAGGAAAAAACTGCGACCCTTCGAACTAAAACAATAGTACGTACCGTAACGTTGGATCAATTGGGTCCTCACTGTAATAATTCGGTCCGGCAACAGCGAAGACGTTCGTGCCTTTTTCAAGCACACAAGCCATGGGTACTACTGTAGTCTCCCAGAGTCGAAATGCACGTAGCAACCTTTGTAGAGTCCGGCCACATAGAATATGTCAACACCAAGGGTTCCCTCTGACCCAGACTCCAGATCTCTCGTGAATAAACCACCTGCACTGGGAACCCTAAACACTCAACACGGTGCACACAAGAGCAGATGGAGTGGGCACACGATATGGTGCTAACGTCGATGCGGGAGATCTTCGCCTGCTTCGAGGGCGGTTCGAGCGAGGTCAAGCGGGAACGAAGGGCGCTCATCGCCCAAACTGACAACAACATTGAGGTATGTCGGAAGTCGCTGCTTGTGGAATGCACTATGTAGTTGTTTCATCGAAGCAAAGTGTCGCACCTTTGGCTAGACTATAGTCACCCGTTCTAACGCTCTTGTGGCAACCAACAACCCCTCTTCCCAAACAACATGGCGGCCGTAACAAATGTCCTTGTGAAGATTTCTGCGTGTATCGTATGGTTGCAGCATTGCTAAGCTTTCGGACACACGGGTACGACAAAGCAGACGGTACATAAATTGCACGGTTTCAAGAGTTGACGAGAGGGTGTCGGCAGGTATTCCGCCTTGTTCCGTTCATCACCTTTCTCTGCAAACAGGAAGCATGGTCCTAGCTTCATCCGTGCCTGACTGCTCACGGTTTTCCCTCGCGCTGTTTATTGAAATACCCATCTGAGACTCGAATCGGAGGAAATTTACGATTAAAGTTGTCTTCACGAAACCCATACGACCTTGGCACTTGAATATGATGGCACAAGTGTAACTCGCAGGAGCCTACCGGTCATCATTTCAAGTGCAGTGGTTAAACACCCTGCACTTGGAATGAGGAACCCTCAGAGCGTCAAACGTGTTCCTGCTGACCCACCGTTTTGCGTCAGCCTTCCCGTATCTTGCGGTGTGGCCGTCACGCTATCTGAGTTTGGGTGGCCGCTTGCCGTCTGGCCTGTCCGTCCAACGCCCACCTCTTTTCCTGCCGGTTCTGTCTATGTACCATCCTCAGTTATCCCTCCGGAACACGGTCAAGAAATCTCTGCAGCAGCTATCGAAGGCCATCAACGGAGACGCCAAGACAGAGCCTCAGACTCTCTTCAAGGTCAGCGAATAGCGAACATATTTCACTGCCGATGTATTCAGCAGTCGCATGTCGAGTATAAAGGGGTAGGACGAGACACAGCTCGGTGTCCCACTAAGCTCAGTTGACTGACCTTCGCATCGCTGCAGAACGCCAACCAATTCAACTCCACCGGAAATGGCCACGCACTACAATAGTGCCTGCGTCGGTTTCTTGTGGCTAGACTACCTTTCTCTTGCGCCTTCAACATAAGGCGTGCACCAGACCGAGCAGCCTTGTTGAAAGAAGTACATACATTTGGGGGCAGGCATTTCTCCACTCCGGACAGGAGTATCCAGCACAAAGATGAGTCAGGCTTGGCCTTGTCCCATAAATTGAACCTCGATTCCCATTCGTCCTCCCCTACTCCTCGGCCCGACCGAACCGCACAGGTGAACATTGTGCTGGAGTCGGCACAAGTGGACTACCGGCCGACCATGATCAACCTGACCCACGTTATCAACATCGTCACGAAGGAGCTCATGGGCACCATCAAGGCTGTCTCTCGCGTTCGAGATGCTCTGGGCGACAATCCTAACCCCAACGCTACTGGTGTCACTGGCGCGAAGAAACCAACCGCTACAGCTACCGCCGCAATCGCCACCGGCACTGCCGATGCCGCAAAAGGAGCGTATCCTGTGGTGGAAGGGGAAGGGGAAGCGGATGCACCGGCAGGCGCGGGGCAAGCGGCGGGGGATGGGGGGGGGGGGGAGGGCGACGCAGCTGTGGTGGCAGGAGCTTCAAGTGGTGGGGGGGGAGACATGCTGCCTGTGGCTCAGGTAAACGACTCATCGTGCATGTCAGACGCTGTAGTTTGGTTGGTTGACGCATGTGCCTGTTGGGTTCGTTCATGGTTTGAGGGCTGTATTAGAGACCTCTTCTCTTGACCTGCTTCAAACTGAAGGGAGGACGGAAAAAAGTGGAAATATTGCAGGCGCAGACGGGAATCTACGTGCCGTTGGCTCGCGCGTGAATTGCCAAATCCGTACCTGAGGACGAAAAAAGCTTGCAACATATATCACAAAACAATTTTAGCCCCACCAGGATCTTGTCTGTATCAATGAGGCTGTGTGGGGTATGCGAGAGTCTGCCAGACTCTCAACATCGATATGTGCGCATCCACTCTTAACCCGCGACACGGCAAAGGTGGTGGTGCCCTCTTTCTACAACATCATCAGCAACGACGAGGACATCCTAAAGATCGTGGTACAAGTCATGAACGGCATGAGCGCCAGCGCGGCGGAGCTTCAGAAATACCTGTCCTACTGGGACAAGTACAAGTACATCTGGGAGAACGACAAGGTATTGTATGAAAAGTACAGGTAGTACAGCGTTGTCGGCGGCATTTCTACATGACAGTTTCCAGCGTGCCGACCGAAGCTCAGGTTGATTGTCTCGGACACCACGGTCAGGTGTACGGCGTTCACGTGTTCGAGAAGGAACCTCTTTGTTGCTGCTTTCAGTGTGTCCAATTCCCCCCGTGGCTTTGGTATTGATACAACCCCCCCACTAGGGACGATCGCACCATCAACCTACCTAAAGGGCGCACGTCATTTCTACGGTTCGGATCACACAGAAGAAAATCTGTCCGTGGTAGTCTAATGTAGGATGTCAACGTGGTCGTTTGAAGGGTTGAGAAAGTCTTCCTTTCGATCATCAACAACGAAGATCTTTCTTTTTCTTTTACCCACAAACGAGCGATTTCTACTCGAAAGGATTTTCTGAGTGCAGGAAGTTGATCTCCACTGGTGTCGAGGGAAATGTTTGACCGCAGGGGGTGGAACCTGTAGCAGTTGTTCAGATACTAGTTTTCAGGTGTCACGTCCCTAACGGGTTTCGTTGGCCGTGCAACGAAACGCTTCACGCCGCCCACTTCACGTATATTTGCACACAGGGAGCAGTGCCTCCCTCTACCCTCTTTCTATCGAAACTCGACATCTTTCATTCCGTTTTCGTTTTCTTGGCCAACGGGAAGGATGGGTTTATCCGGCGATACGCGAAGGCCAACAGAGGGCTGGCCCAGTTCCAGGCTGACATTGCCAGGCGAGATCTTCAACATTATTGGCAAATTCCCTCGAAACCTTGCCATCGGTGGTAGAGAATCAACCAGGCCTTGTACGCTAATTGTGTGTCTCTCAGCCAATGGCGACCTATTGGATGAGATGTGTGCCCTGTATTCTGCTGTGTACAGGGTCACCTTTGAGCGAAAGTGTTTCATTCTTTCACCTATCTTCAGATATTTTTAGTTGTTCGGTTGACAGCGCGGGCACCGGGCCGACGTTCCAAAGACGCTCAACCTCCGCTCTCCGCCTCCTTCTCTAGTAATCCCTCTTCCAGGTAGGCATGCTAGAGAGACGTGGTACTTGTTGAACAGTTGCCTGTCGGCTTCTTCATACCGCTCGATTTTCTCCTCGTTGATTACTCGCCTTTCCACAGAAGGAACAGGTTGCTTGTCGCTTCGTCCGGTCTGGTCGCTTCTTGAAGATTGAAGACAGGTTGCGCTGCACGAGGTTCTCAAGCTGAAGAGGATAGAAGCCGCTCATCGTCATCAGTACTTGTATGCCTACTGAATAATGTCTCCCGCCTTTCCTTTTCCCCTCTCAATCTGCGCACCACGACGTCAGATACCGCGAGCTCCAGGCGGACATCGTGCAGGAGGAGTCGTCCCACACTATCAACTTCATCAAGATCGACTGCACGCAGCTCAAGACTGCCCTGGTTGGCCACTGCTCGCAATGGCAGGGCAAGCTTACCGGCCTTCTGAACCAGGTGACGAGGAAACGTTGAGTGCATGGAACACCGACAAAATCGCGAGGTCAACAGGATAATACATGCCGCAAGTAGCGGCGTTATCGGCCCTGTAACAAATCATTGAAATCTCGCACGGAGTACGTAAAGAAGGCAACGAGTTGCATGCGGCCAGAAAAATGAGGTGCGGTAGATTTGGGATTAGAGTCTAGTGTGCATGGTGTACTTCGGAAACTCTGTCGCAGTCAATCCCTGTCAGTGGTTGCCTCGACATCTACATTACTATTTGTTTGAAGATTAGCTCAAGTGATACGTAGGCATTGGCTGTTAGAGACCTGCTCAAAAAAAAATTCTCAAGCGGTCAAAAAAAGCTGTTCACGGTATGCATAGGACCTAGAGGACCTCAGCTCGGCGAACTGGTCAACACTAGATTGACAGGTCTGCCAATAATCACCACCCGACTAACCAATGCCCCTGTTTCAGAACGCCATGGTCGAGCTACGTGGGCTGCACGAGCTATTTGAGACCTCCACCGCTCGATTGAAGGTGCCACCTCTGAACCTTGATCACCTGAGCGAGAGCTGGAACTTACTGGAGACTATGAAGAAGGACGTCCCGGCCATCGAGGCCAAGGTACATTTGCCGCCCACCAGTGTACTCGGAGTAAGAGTTAACGTCTCTTGGGGGACGCATGCGCAAGAAGGCTCTTTCAGACAAGCGACGGCCAGAAATTTGTGATGTTGTTGCTGTTGTCGCTACTGCAGGTGTTGTTTTTCTTGGTTCACAAGTTGAGCTTCGGCAGCTTCGCTAGAACTTTGCATCGCATGCTGTCTAACCGAGGATGATTTGGTTGCGATTTGCATTATTGTTAGTCCACCTTCATGAGTTTGATTCTGTTTGCGACATATCAGTTCGGACCTCTGGAGGAAACATACGCGATCCTGGCCAAGTTCGAGGTGTCGGCTTCGGACGAGGAGCAGATGATGCTGCAAGACCTCCAGCAGGCTGGTGAAGACTTCAAGGAGATGCTGAAGGAAGTCGAGCAGGCAAGAAAATCTTGTCATCGGATCCATCGTCGCTGTTGATGTTGTGGTGGTGGTGGTGGTGTTGCTCACGTTCAGGTGATTGTAGTGCTCAGGTGTAGTCCCGAACATTGTCATCACTGCAATTTTTACGCCTGCTTGCCTGCGATGTCTTAACAGATGCTTAACAAGTGCAAGGTCAACATGAAGAGAGACCTGGAGAATAGCATCACCAACTACAATGAGTCCGTTCTCACGGTGCACCAGGTGATCGATCATAGAAAACGTACTACATGTACGTAAACAAACTCCTCCATACAAGCATCTGAGTTTCCGTACACCGGCTTGTCTGCGGTGACGGTGAAAGCCTGGTACAACACAAGGTCTGCTCCATCGTAAACATAAGAGAGAAGGGGCCTTTGCATGTATCACTGTAGTTATCTTTCATGGCAGCGGGAGTTCAGTATTGAGAAAGGATAAGGTTGCACTTGACAAGCTTCTCCCCGGGGCTACTAAGTGTAGGAATCTCGACGTCTTCTGTCGCAATCTCAACCCAGTCCACCATCGACAGGCACCATATTGAAGACGGAACGGGTGCGCGCGTGCAGTCAATGGCAACTTTCTTTTCCCATTGATCGGAATTGTAGAGGAACTGGTCCCCGACACGTAGTAGTCCATAGGTTTCGTTTCGAATGATGGTTTCCATGGCAACTTATTCCGAATGACTTCAAGCCTTGCCCGTACCCGCAAACTGTGACCGCCCGCAGGACGCGTCGACATTCCTGCCTTACGGCGGAGACGTAAAGCCTGAGGACGCGTTCAAGATCATCGAGGAGTACAAGGTCAAGGTTGAAGCTGTTCGCGCCACACAGGTATCCACCGGCACCCGCCTGAGCCTCTTCTCTCTTTTGTTTATGCAGAATAGCCGGAGTCAACGACTACAGTCAAGGAGATGGTCTCCCAGAAGAAACCGGAAGCGGCACATTGTACCCAGGCATTGGGGCTCAGCACGACATGATGTATCCTGTACTCGTGACTTCATGCTTGCGCCTGTTATCACGGAGAAACCAATAACGTTGAAATCGAGGATATGCGAACTTCACGTTAGTGCAATGTAGTGGCCTCGTCCCGCTCTTACTTTCGTAGCGCGTTCCTTGGTTGTTGCCGCCCTGGAAAGATGGTCCATCGCAGCCGGACCCGGGCGTGTGAAGCACAACGTTCACCGAACGATTCGCACCGTTAATGGTCTCGAACGCTCTTCGACCACACCCACAGAAGATAGGAGGCCAAACGGCTTCCCACGTGTCAGACAGCGCCGGCCCAGTCATAAGAACACTGTAGTTTGATGAGCGAGGCCGAAACCTTACTCCGCTGCAACATTGAGCAAAGGCTAAAGTAGTACTAACCTGCACTACAAAAGTTGAACAAGTGTACATGTATTGTCGGTAGAGCTCAGATTCTTCTTCCGTGTTCATTCTTTTTCAACAGTCGGAGCCTGGGCTGCGGTGTGTTCTTATGAGTAGGCCGGCACATTCTGCGTCACTAACTTGCACGGGCGCTTGTTTGCCGTCCAGGCGAGTATGCAAGCAGGGCTCGACGTGTTCGCCATGGACTCGCCCGAGCACAAGGAGCTCAAGGCGGTGGAGCGAGACTTGGACCTGATGGAGCAGGTGAAAACACGGACAAACGTGCATACAGGAGACGAAGAGCCAAAGCTCCTGCACACAATACGAAATCGACCTCAGATACACCATCGTGCAATGGCCCTTTCCCCAAGCCCCCCAGCCTTCCTCGCGCCACTCTCGAAAAATCGTCGCTGGTTGAGCAATATCAAGGTCCTGAGAAGTTGTCCCTGTGATGCTGGTTAGCTCACACCGAGGCATGAGGGAAGATGACCTCTTACAATGATTTGCAAGCGAGGGGTTGTTGTTGCCGCCGTACACGCGAAGCACCTGCAACAGAACTCTGAAATAGTAAGGGGAGTAAGTCGACTTTGGAAGCAAAAGTCACGTTTCGCAGATCTCGGAGTCGTTTCTCTGCGCAAAATGATAACACTCCTGAATTTCCTGCTGCGACGTACGCCGTGTGGTGTGTCACGATCTCGTTTGATGTGCCAAACGTCACAGATATGGACTGTTTCCAAAGATTGGGAAACGGCGTGGGACGGGTGGAAGACAGGCCTTTTCACCGATCTCGACGTTGAGGAAATGGAGAATGCCGCCGGGACCTTCACCAAGAAGGTGATGCTTTATCGTACGTCACGTGCTGTTAGTAGTACAAATGAAGTGTGTACTTCGGAAGGAGAACGGAGCAATGAGAAGGTGTTTCCGACAGAACCGGTGCTACGTGTGCGCTTTAGGATCCTTGCTGACCCAAAATACGGTACGCCTAAATAGAGCCTTGACGAGCAGCCTGATTTGTTGAAGGCGTATCGAGTATTGTGTTTGGAATGAGAATGAGATGTTCCTAACTAGTCAACGTACACACCGCACCGAGACAGTGTTCTCTTGGACATGGAAAGACTGCTTAGCACTCAACTGTTGGCATTTGTGTGACCCACACACTCATGTAACACTGAAAAAAACATCGTTCGTGGTACATTGGCACAGATCGGCAAGCTAGGCCGAGACATGAAGAAGTGGAAGGTGTGGGAGGCAATGAAAGAGAAGGTCGAGCAATTCCGGCAGACTATGCCTTTGATACAGGATCTGAAGAACCCGGCCTTGCGGCCACGACACTGGGACGCGCTTAGATCCGAGGTAAGTGACATCGGGGGCGGAGGGAGGATAGTGGGCGTGATGGCATTCGTTATATTGTAGCGTTTGCTAAATAGTTTCACCGCAAGGAATAAATCGAAAATCGGTACTTTCGAGATTCTTCAAAGGCGCGAGCCTTGCTGACGGACGCGTGGCCTTTGTTTGTTCTGTGCGGAATAGCTCGGGAAGAACTTCGATCCGGAGGCGGCAGACTTCAACCTGGAAGGCGTTTTCAGCCTGGGTCTACACAACCTGGCCGACTTCATTGGGGAACTTAGCACCAACGCCAACAAAGAGCTGGGCATCGAGAAGGTACACAGCGTGCTGCGGTAGAAATGTGACGAACCGCCTCGCTCGGTGATATCAAAATACCGCCTCTGGACCGGGGTTCGACAATTGTGCGAGGTTCGAAGCAGCTAGGACACTCTTACAAGCTTGTCAGCTCTTCGGTTCGTACTTCTTTCCGAGCGTGCGTGCAGGAATTCGACGCTAGAATCCAACTCTGGTGCGATTTTCTGCACAATCGAGTACTCAACTACCTTCAGAGACAAATGACACCATTTGTGACACGTGCCGTGGAACTATTGTGATACTCTCTCCCCTGCACCGCATCGTTTCTTCGTGCCTCCGCCATCAGAGCTTGGTGGACGTGGAAAATCGATGGAAAGATGTGGACATCGACATGGGCGAGTACAAGGACAAGTACTACAAGATCAAGAGTACAGAGGACCTGTTCCAGGCGAGCAAATGGAGCAAACCAATCTTTTCAAGAGTAGCAGTAGCCAGCAGTAGCAGCAGCAGCAGCAGCAGAAGCAACAGCAGGGTCACACTTGCGATAACACTGTATTTCTCGGAGTATCAAATTCTCCAAGTTGGTAGGTGCTAGGGGAGGATATCATCAGGGTTCCACCATGAACACTTACATGTGCACTGCAACATTTTTTGTCGTTCGTTCAACAGTCTTAATGGACTAGTATTTGCGACGGCAAGAGAAATGACGAGATGCCACCACTGGAGCATAGTTCAACAAACAACCAACCAAACGTACCAATGTTTTTCAGGTGCTAGAGGAGGACAGCGTTCAGCTCTCCACCATTAAGGCCTCCAAGTTCTACAATTCCTTCTCGGAGAAGATTGACAAGTGGGAGAAGGCCCTCAACGGCGTGTCAGAAACGGTGGAGCTCATCCTCAACGTGCAGAAGAAGTGGATGTATCTCGAGTCGATTTTCATGGCCAGCGAGGACATCTGCAAGCAGCTGCCCAGAGAGTCCGCAATATTTATGGAGGCAAGGCTTGATGCTGTGTGGTGAACGGTGTGATCAGGGACGATATGGCATGAAATGTGGTGCACATCAGACACCAACCTGGTGTCCGTTGGTCGGTGAAACCGAACGACTCATTCAACCTCACGGGCAGACACTGAAGACGGCATTCACTTCCTTGGCTTATTTCACGTAATTGGCAAGCAAGCCCGGAACAAGGACGGCGGCATAGAGATGAAAAGTAGCACTCCGTTGAAACGTGTATTGTTTCTGTTGACCCCGTCCCACTTCCATTGACCCCTCTTTTGTCAGGTGAACGCCGAGTTCAGCTGCCTCATGGAAGAGATATTCAACAACCCCAACGCAATACGGGCTTGCTGCTCGGACCCCAAGATGATGGAGAAGATCACGGCCATGGATTCAAACCTGGAGGTTATCCAAAAGAGCCTCGACCAGTACTTAGAAACCAAGAGGTGAAGCCTCGGTGGAAACGCTTCGAAAGAAGTCGATCGTATTGGCATCCTTTATTTCGGAACGTACAGTTGAGGGATATTCCTGGGCTTAAACGATGACGTTGTCCTCCACTAACCTTAGTCCTCAAGTGAGTACGCTATGATTGACTGCCATGATCGAGAATTCCTGACCACAGCTTGTTCTTCGGATTTCCACGTAGGAATACGAAGCGATACTTACTACTCTACATCATCTTGTGCGAGGGCATCGATGCATGGATCCCGCCGCTGCGCACGGCAGAGGGTCGAGTTGCGCGGGATACAACATGGAAACCAATGAAAAATCTATCCGAGATGCACCCAACATGGCGTTCGTGTTCGCATTTCCCCCATCAGAGCTACCTAAGCATCAGCCAAACATATGCCCCTCTTCTCGTTGCCGCTTTGTTCGCGTACGTTCTTAGGATGGTGTTCCCGCGGTTCTACTTCGTGTCGGACGACGATCTGCTTGAAATTCTGGGCCAGTCCAAGGACCCCGAGGCCGTGCAGAAGCACCTCAAGAAGTGCTTCGAGGGGATCAAGGACATCCACCTCATTCCTCCAGGTACTTTTATGTACGGGTCGATGTGGCATGCGGCGCAAGGCTAGCTATTTTTCTCCTTCTCGTATCCGTTTGGTGGCGTTTTCCGCCTTTTGCGGTTAGGAAAAAACATGCTTGTGAGTCCAAAGTAAGCGTAGGACTTCATCTACCGTAACCCGACAAGCGTTATCCCATTTCTTCGACCAATAACCGTATTCCGAGATCATGGTATGACGTAGATTGAAGAAGAGAAAAACAGTCTGCCATGTACCATACACGCTGTTGGGCAGATCCCTGAATCGTAGGCCTATCATAGGTTTGCAGCACGGATTCAATGTGGGAGGTAGCCGATTTCCTCAATGCACGCGCTTCCATCAGCACCCGCACCTGAACGCCTTGATTCGCACGCAACATTGCAGGCAGGCACACGAACAAGACCTGGGAAGCATCTGGACTGACGTCTCCAGACGGCGAGACTGTCGAGCTAGCCTCCAACCTCATCATCGACGGTCCCGTAGAGATGTGGTTGGCGGCACTGGAAAGCGCCATGCAGACCGCTCTGCAGAAGCTTCTGGCGAGCTCCTTGCAGGCGTACAAGTGAGGCAGCCATGTTTGCTGTACGTCACACGAGCTCTGCCTTGAAGCATGTCAAGGTATGCAATTACCCTCCATCGGGATATATTCGTGACCTTTGCACTGCCACCTCCCTGTGTCGTTGTCGCAGGGGGAAAAAGGACAAGTGGGTGAAGGAGTACCAAGGGCAACTGTTGATCTCTACGGGGGCCGTTCAGTGGACCACAGACTGTTCCAAGGCGCTCAATGCCATATCGGGCGGAAACAAAACCGCCCTCAAAGCCCTCAAGAAGAAACAGGTGCTTTGACATATACTTCCTCCGATTCTAAATATAAGGGTGGTTTGGACAAAATGCGGTCTAACTCGGGCCTGCAGAACTCTTTTCCCGAACCGTTTTTTTTGTTGGTTCCACCGCACTGCTGCGCAGCGCGCAGAACCGGGGTCTTTCTGAACACACACCAAGCAAGGTGCAGCCCACAGCAGCAGACCGCGCCCGATCTCACCACCCCAACTTTGTAGCTCCGGTCAAACACCTTCCCAACTGCTGTTGAGCCATGTCCGCTGCTGGGAGTGCCTCTCAAGGGACGAAGAATAAAAGGATACCGCTGCAATGAAGAGTTGTTTGGCTGAGGCGTAGAGGGTCGGCTACCGTGGCTGAAGGGTGTGCGCAGAACAGCAGTTGGTGCGGGACCTAGGTCAACTTGGTTTTCTATGTTTTCGTCAACCCGGGGATGAATATCAACTGTCCCCTCCCCTTGCAAGAGGCGGATGTTTTTTTGTTAATCCAATGTTATGCGCAATTGAAGATCTTCGAAGTGCTCTTATCAAACTGCACCGGCGGTCTGTTGTCTCTTCTGGGTACAACCACGGCAGATTTCCGCCATTTTCCCGATCAGGGGATTTCACCGCACCATCCCCCCCCCATCGAGCGTTTTTTTTTTTCTCTCTCTCCAATGCGATATCCTATCGTATGCCAAAGATATCCGAGGTCCACGTTTCGGCCAATAGCCCTCAAACCGCCCTTATATTATGAATTTTCCAAACCGCCCTTATATTTAGAATCGGAGGAAGTATTATACTATTTCTGCAGTGGTTGCGTCTGGTGATCGGATCGAGTCGGCCCTGGTCGTCTGATGGGTACAAGGGGGGAATTGTTGGGGACAAGTCTGAGCTGATGATCCAACACTAGGCTGGCGTCATCGTGTGTCATTACATGGGAATCGATTGCACGGTTACACGCATGCGCTCCAACATGCATTTGCATCGGCTCCCATCTCCATTTTCTCAGGTTGGATATCTCAACAAAATGTCGGACATGGTTCGAGGGCAGCTGACAAAGATCGAGCGAAACAAGCTGGTGGCTCTCATCACCATGGAGATCCACAACCGGTAAGAGCGAAACCATTTTCTTGTTCTTTTTCTTCCCACACCTTGATCGAAAGTTCGAGCCCCGAGCTTGACGTGGTCTTCGCTGTGAAACCGGCGTGACATCGCATAAGACGCTTTGATACCCCCATCAATTTTAGTACGGCCAAGTGCTTCCCTATTAAAACCTCCCTCATTTGTGATTATTGTCGCCACTTGTTGTTACGATAATGCACGGTTTATCCGTTAACGACCCTGACAGAGATGTGATGGAGCGGATGATCAAGGCCGGCTGCGCGGCCACTTCCGATTTCGAGTGGTTGTCTCAGCTTCGCTTCGTGTTTTCGAGGGAAGACGGTCCCTTCGGTATAATCTCCGTAAGGCAAACCAACTGCCAGCTCGAGTATTCCTACGAGTATCAGGTGGGCTGTGAGTCATCAGGTGCACTTACTAACATGTTAGCGCGTCCTCAAACACATGTATGACTAGTGAGGCATTGGAACACTGTCTACTACCTAGAGAGCAGAGCATCACCACTTGGAGGCGCTGGGAGGGTTGCTTGAAGGCGTTGGGAGGGTTGATGTTAACATCGCGGCGGAGAGAAACGGCAGAACGCACAACAGCAGGTTGCTGTGAAGTGTATGGTCTGAGCCCTTCCGCCCACGATTTGGTGCGCGTCGGCTGGACTAATACTTCTACGTTCAACCAGCACTTCTGTGTGAAATCCTCCGAGGGCTGGTGAACATACAAATCTCTTTCACGCTGTTCCGTAGCAAGAGCGATTGACCCAACGTTTCCACTCAATCAACTCTATTCGAATATTGACCTTCTGTACAGGGAAACAACGGTCGACTCGTTGTTACGCCGCTGACTGACCGCTGCGTGCTAACGCTGACGACGGCAATGTACCTCCACCGCGGGGGGAACCCTCTCGGTCCTGCAGGAACGGGGAAAACCGAAACCGTCAAGGTCAGTGCCAAAATCGAGGGACCAATGTTCTTGTTTTCCTCATTGGGTATTTTGTTATGAGCATATCTTTGATACCATGCAACGTGGGTCGGTTTCCCGGTTTCTCTCCTGTGTAGATTCTTCCCTCGGAGACCTAAACTCCCCGCGGTACCGTTGCCATGAATCAGCTACGCGATGGATTGCCTCCACCTCCCGCCTTTTTCGGATCCATCGCGGGGTTTGTCATTAGCTGTATCGGTTGCAAAAAATCATCACCAAATAGTTTCCCCAACTGTGCTCCCTTTCTTCCGTTCAGCATCCCTGTCGTTCGCCATGCACCGTTCATCCAGCGACCAACGCCACCTTTCCCTGATCTTGAGGTTGAACGTACGTATTCATAATCTAGTAAACAGTCCCTCATTTGTGCTGCATCTGGGCCCAACGCATAAACTGTCCCTAACGCCATCGTTTCCCCTGTTGACAAATGCTAACTCCGTCCCTCTGTGTCACAGGACTTGGGCAAGAACTTGGCCAAGTACGTGGTGGTCATCAACTGCTCCGATGGTCAGGACTACAAGTCCGTCGGGCGTATTTTCTCGGGGTTGGTGCAGTCCGGAAGCTGGGGCTGTTTCGATGAGTTCAACCGGATCAAGATTGAGGTTATTTCCGTGGTGGCCGTGCAGGTGGGCGCGAAGCAAGCGTACTCCCCCTCATTCGCGACATTGAATAGCGTTCTGTTTTGTGATGTCATGTCGCTGGCGTGCACACAAATATTTGCTTTTGTTTCTGCCTCTTCTCGAGGGGGTGATGGTGCGGCTGATACAGCTGATGTTATCGTTCGTTGTCGTGTTGTTGTTACGGGAAAACTTGATTGGATATGATGTTGCGCTTCTTCTTCAGGTGCTTTCGATCCTCAACGCCCTCAGTGCGCACAAGGAGTCTCTCATGTTCATGGGGAACATGATCAAGTGCAACCCCAACTGTGGCATCTTCATCACCATGAACCCCGGGTACGCCGGCCGCACAGAGCTGCCGGACAACCTCAAGGTGGGAACAACGACATCAGCGAGTGCAGTACTTTCGTGCGAACAATGGCAACGAGAGAATCAGCCGCGGCGCGAAATGAACGAGGGGGAAGCGTCAGTCGCAGGAACCTATCGACGCTGACAGCTACTTGGCAATATATCCAAACCTGTGGAGGGTGGGATAGAGGTTATGTGTGCGGTTACCCCGTTTTGGCTATGGATAGGGCTTAAAGTGCAGAAAAGGACTTTCGAACGCAGCACTCCTACGCTCCGCTTCCAAGTGCCGTATGAGCATTTGTATCCAGAATCACGTGGGCCCGAACCACAAGGAGAGCCAACGCACATTGAGCTGTCCTATTCCTCGTCCTCGTCGCTCTGCGTGCCATCGCTTTATCACCGCCAGGCGCTTATGAGACCGGTGGCCATGATGACACCAGATCTGGCGATGATCGCCGAGGTGATGCTTGCGGCAGAAGGCTTCCGCGAGGCCCGCATCTTAGCGAAGAAAACGGTCACTCTTTACAGCCTGATGATCCAGCAGCTCTCCAAGCAGGTTCGTCTGTGTTGTTAAAGCCTGTGTACCCGTACGCTTGCTTGGTTCGGACCCGAAACATTCCTCTTTCATGTGTCTTCACCGAATTTCGTCACTTTCAGCACCTCAAGGAAGCTCACCCAGCATTCCAAACAATGAAGACCTCCTAGTCGGGAGAGTGGCTGCGAAGTAGTACAAGTTTACCCAGGGTCCATCCACTGTTCGAACGGCGGACGGGGCTTTAATATCGGCCGTGCGGACCAAGCAAGCAAGTTTCAGCGAAAGAAGTTCATTCCCGGGCATGGGACCCCATCCAGTCACAACATTTTGTGATCAGAACCGCGGCGAAAAACGTAATATCGCATCAAATAATTGCCTGATCCCAACAACAAGGTGGAGTGTTCTCGACGGCACCTACGAACGACCAAGCCAATATATCAATTTCAAGCGATCTCAGCCACTACTCCCATCTCGAGAAGTATCAACCAGAAGCGCAAAACCTTGAGCAATTGCCATCAACTACCGCGCAGGACCACTATGACTATGGTTTGAGAAACCTGAAGGCGGTGCTGAACATGGCCGGGGCATTGAAGCGGGCGGATCCAAACATGAACGAGGAAGCGATCCTCATGCGAGCTCTGAGGTGAGCATGTAAGGAGAGATATCCCAGGAACATTGGGTCCGTCTTTCCACGCAATCGCCCTTCGAAGTAGGCTTGACGTAAGCGAACAACTCTATTTTTCCCTGCGGCGGTTGATAGGGTTTCTGTGACCCCTATTTCTCGACAAGCCCATACTCGAGATGATAGATAGACCTGTTTCAGTCAGCTACTACTGAGGGGGTGACAAATAGCGCAAACATTGGTTCAGTATCGTTCCTTGTTGGTCACCGAGCTGATTCTTCGGGATACAGCCGATAAAAGAGGTGTGGTCGTGAGGTGCCCTTACAATAGATCACAGTACTGCGAAATTGCGGATGCGCCCCATCGTTGCTGCAGCAGCGTCAAATCCCAGCTTTCTTCCAGCCACGAGAAACTCTCACAACGTGTCTTCGATACATCTCGACGCGTTCAGGGACATGAACCTTCCAAAGTTCATAAAAGACGATGAACGGCTGTTTCGACTACTGTTGGGAGACCTGTTCCCCTCGTTGGAACTCCCTGTACCGGAGTACGGCGCTCTTCAGGCAAGCGCTACATGCTGTATACCCACTTCGAAAAAAATAGTTTGCGATGGCTCGGACCCCTCTGTTTGCAAACGTGGCGAGTTCGAATGTGTCGATCCCTACAATATGTAGCTACGTTTCTAACGGCTCGTTTCGCCTGTTGCGAGAGCAGTCGTCGCCTTTCTACTATCGAAACCGTTTTAACACATGGGTCACTGGCTAGAACGTACGCTCCCGAAATACACGGTTCCGTTCGTAACCAGATGGGTCTAGATCAGGAACGGGCGGTCTGTTGACATGCACATCGTGTAACCTACCTTCTTACGAAGTTCGACTCTCTCAATGAGCTTGTCACTCAATGCCTTCAGAAATTGTTGGGCGAGTGTAACACGCTCCGCACGTTCGTGTCTGCAGGGTCTTGTCGTGACCGCCTCATGAACTGCCTGCTGTCGTCTAACACTGTGCGTGGTCTGCGTGCGCGGAATCGAAATGTCCCCGCTGAGAACAGGTTGCCGTGGAGAAGGAACTGACAAGCAAGGGGCTCCAGCAGCATCCGTTCCTCATCATGAAAACCATTCAGCTATCCGACTCCCAGCTCACCCGGCACTGCAATATGCTTGTCGGCAGGTGAGCGCATAACGCAATGCTCCAGTATCTTGCACATGATCCTCAAATACAGACGGTTTGTCCGTGCCCAGAATGCCTGGCCGGGCCTTCTTTAATCCCCTTTCGCAAAGTCGCGACCGTAAATTGTGCTTCCGGGACGCTTATTCTATATGGTAGCTCGGAACCACAATCGACATCCAACACTACTGGATTGAACGTTTATTACATCATCCTGGCCCAGGGGCATGGTGGTGACACGAACATGCCCATCACACACGCCCTGATCAGAACTAGAATTATTCAGAGTCTCTCGTGACTGTACCTTGCAGCCTGGACGCATTCATGTATGTTCGCGGACGTCCAAGGACATGACTATGAAAATGATCAGGCTAGTGTCACAGAAATGGTTTCGTGCGATCTACATTACATCAAATCAGTAAATCCATCCGCTCGGCGTCCAATTTTTCGTGCCGGGGGGGTGGGCAAGATTCGAAGGGAAAGAGGTCAAAAATGATGAAACCAAATCGTCGATCGTTGATGCACGTGAGGATATGCGTACTTTTCTTCGTGTGGTTTGCAGAACGATGTCCGGCAAGTCGGTGGCTTGGAGAACGCTCATGAACGCCAAGAATCAGATGTGCAAGGACGGCGTCGATGGGTATCACCCGGTAAGGTGTTTCCTTGTCCACACGTTTGTGGCGGTTTGATCCTGTCTGGTTGCAATAATCGTGTATTCGTCCTTCTGTGTAAACTTGTATTGATGATGCTGACACTGCTTTCCATGCTCGCGTTGTTGCGGTTGTATCGGTGTTTGTTCAACCCGATACTATTACCGTAAACGTCGGAGTTTTCCCCCCGGGGAGGGGATCGTTTTTCTGAAACCAAACCTAAGAGCAACGAAGGCGAAGAGAAGAAGTACAGAAAGAACAGCAGATGAGGGAGTTTGTCTCGTCCCGCAAGTGATTACAAGAAGAGGAAGGGCCCGCCTTCCAGTGACAAACGGTACACCTAAATCAAGCTCGAAGCGTAGATCTGCGATTGAATTTTCCGTCCCATATCATGCTTTTAGAGCTCCGCGATGCAAAAAAAATCGACTCAGAAAATTAGATAAATACATCCCCTCCGTGAGGCACTCGTGGGAAAACTGGTACCCCGGGGGAAAATTGAATACCCGGGGGGGTGTTTTTTTTTCTGGTCGAAAACGATCTACCCCGGGGTTAAATCAAAGAAACCATGCTGGCAGGCCGAAAAGGTAATGGGGGAAGGGGAAAACTCTACTGGGGGGGAAGACTCTCCGACGTTTGCGGCACGTTTGGTGTGACTACCTGCGGGGCTTACGAACTTTCCCTCTTGCCGAATCATGCCTTCCACAACGTTCAGGTGCACCCGTTCGTGATCAACCCTAAGTCTGTGACGCTCAGCGAGCTTTACGGTGCTTACGATCTGTCGACGTTCGAGTGGGCAGATGGTATCCTCTCCACGCTATTCAAGCAGTCAGCCGAGTCAGACAAGCCGGACGAAAAGGTACGGAAGGAAAAAAGCCTGCCCCGCGCGATAGCACTTGCTTTGTAGATATTTCAACGGTCACAACAGGCGTGGTTTCCCCAGCCACCTTCGGCACCGTTGCTACTTGTGTTCTTCGTGGTTGGGATGGCAAGTCCTTCACCACTCTATCAGCGTCGACGGAATCTCGCTTGCACACCTGCACCGTCAACAAGACAGTTTCTCTCTCGTCGTCCGTCGAAACTCACGACATGTCTCCTCCGAGACGGTTCCTACTTTCTCATCCCGACCGACACAGTTTGGATTACTGCATTGAGTGAACCGGCAGTTCATGGCCCGAGAAACAACGGCACGAAGCCTGAAACCCCAAATGCCCCTTGCTCCATCGTTCCCAAGTTTCCGTCTGGGCTGCCCATCTGCATTTCAAACACGAGCCTGATTTCTTGTTGCTACCTCCTTCGGTTCTCAGTGGATCATGTTCGACGGTCCTATCGACGCCCTGTGGATTGAGAGTATGAACTCCGTCATGGACGACAACAAGGTAAGGGCCCAAAACCCACTTCACGGAATGGAAGAACAACTCCGTAGATTTTCACAGGGTGTAATCGAGTCAACATAACGAACAATACCCACGGCATCATGGTCGCGATATTGGATCGACGCATGTTCACTCGAAGTTTCAGAAGACCAAAGCAGATGAGTCGGTAGGAACATGGTGTGCTTGATTCTCCGATGCTGTACGTTAGACGTTGGCCCTTTTCACTAGCCGGCAAGTGCTCCGGGAGCCTCACGTGACGGTCCACACTGTTTTCTCTCAACCCATTACCCACCTGGAAACATTTGCACCTGAGAAGCATACTCTGTTCGGATAACGTGTCTTTGCGCCATGAGTCCCTAGAATTCACCCCTTGTTTGGAACCTTGCTTCTTCGTGATATTGACGAAACTTGCAGATTCTGACGCTCATCAACGGAGATCGTATCCCACTCACCAACTCCATGTCACTCCTCTTCGAGGTGAGATGGACGATGGCATGGTTGCATAGTCTGTCCAATTGCTTGGATCACGTGGACTTCAAAGGCGTACCGTCAGAGGAATAAGTTAAAGACCCAGCCGTCCGAACATGGAAGAAACATTTTAGCGAGAGAGCACGGAATCCGACACAACCGTTGAAACCACACCGCACAGGAACTAGTGTTTCGTCCGGGCCGGTACGCCCTCAATTAATGAAAGCAGTCGGTGGTTCCAGGACTTCACAGCAAATGGATTGGAAACAAGAATTGAAGCACACTTTGTAGCGGAAGAAGTGATATTCTTACGCGGTTGCGGTTTTCGCGTGACGATTTTGCCGGTGGCATATCTATGCGGAAATCGCGTAAGTTCGAATGAAAACAAAGTTGGGTCTGACACGCTCAGGTGGAAGATCTGGCCGTGGCATCTCCTGCCACGGTGTCTCGGGCCGGCATGATCTTCCTGGACGTAGATGAGATGGGATGGCAGCCTTTCGTCAACTCCTGGCTTCAACAGAGGTGAGGCAAAGATTGTGATGACTCAACACTCTCTGCTTTGGCTGCCATCACCTCCATGTGAGGAATTGTGCGTCTCACCCAACAACTTATCTAATGTGGCCGAACCCCATGCTGACAAGACGCGGGTATGTTTCTCCGCTTTGTTTTGTCCAAATTTACACAAGCTTAGGTTCTGCCTGTCACGCTCAGCCGGGCAAGTTCATATCCCTGGAAACAATGTGACTACCCAACTTCCTCCTGAACCTTCTCATGGCCTTCGGTGGTTGCCGTCTGTCTTGGGAATAGGCTTCGCATCTTGCGCGTTGTTGACCACAATACTGACCACTGTCGCTCCCGGCTTTCTTCTGTTTGAACAGATTCGAAGACGACGCGGAGCACCTCACGTTCCACCGTAACCTATTTTCGAAGTACGTGGAGGGGGTGCTGGCCTTCAAGGAGGTGAATGTATCTGAACCGGTACCGGTGGGCGACTTCAACGCCGTCCAGTCGATGTGCACTCTGTACGACGCGTTCCGAGACAATCCTACCACCAGGTGAACATGAGGTGAAAAGACGGACTTGGTCATCACTTCCGGTCATCGTTTTTGGCAACCGACTTGCGCATTCTATTTTTAGTGTGGGGCAACCAAGTACTGCCATTGGCATGAAGTGGGGCATACATTACGGGATTAGATTTTTTGTGCACACCTTTCCTTCGACGTGGTTGCCTGCTGTGTTTTGTTTTCATGGTATCAGCGCGCGAGTATTTATTGCTCGCTTCACATCTGCTTCGCTATCCAAATAGAGGGCCATCCAAACCAAACCATCCAGTGTTTCAAATCCTCAAACAACGCCAACAACATCTCCCCCACCTGCCACCGTCATACCATTTTCCGTGTCGCAGCGGCCTCGAGAAAGATGCCGAGGGATACCTCGGTCTAGCCGAGAAGTGGTTCGTGTTTTCGATGGTCTGGTCCGTTATGGCGGCGGCTGATGAAGACGGGAGGGCGAAGCTGGACGCTTTCCTTCGAGACGTCGAGGTATTCCGGTGCATGCAGCCCAGTACGGCACGCTGGTCTCCGTTGACGCCACCGCAGCCCTCGTTGCGCATCGGTCGGTTGACCGCCATAGACTATTCTATTTTGTTTAATACGTCTTCCGTATGCTGATGCATAAACTGCTGCTCGCTAACAAGTGTCACACGTGCACGTTGACAGGAAGTCCCCTAACACGAGGAAGAAGCATGCACATGTATTCACGCCTGCTGCCGCTGACATTATGAGACCATTTTGTGTTTGGCCCCTTTCGTCCAGCCCCAATTCCCGCCCAGCGCTACGGTCTACGACTATTACGTCGACCCGAAGAAGCTGGACTGGGAGCCGTGGGAGCCGAAGGTACCCCCTTTCCGCTACCTGAAGACCATGCCCTTCCACAAGATGATTGTGCCCACGGTGGACACGGTAAGTCTAGTATTTATACTTGGAGGGAACGGGGGGAACGGTAGATGAATACCGTGTTCCTTTTATTCCTTGTGGTCGTAGTTGTTGTTGCGATGGAAGTTGATGTTGCCGTTGATGCAGATGGAGATGGTGGTATCGGTGGTCGTGATGGCGATGTGGCATCGGCGGTGCTGGCGGCGGTGCTGATACCCCTCGCGTGTGACACCGCGCTGGCCCCTTGGAGTACGCATACGAAATCCGCGCGGACCCTAACGGCCCAGAAGCACCACGTTTGATGACCATTGCGACGTGAAAATCGTGCCAAGTATGACGGGGAACGGGCATTCGCACACGGGTTTGAACCGATAACCTGTGTCTACCGGTTGGCAACTACCGAAATGGCTCATGTACATGCTGTTGCCGCCCAGAACGCCACTCCCGATGGTTCTAGTGGCAACGTCACATGTCGTTGGTGACTGTAAGGGCGACATACAAAGAGCTTGTCACTGAAGGAGGCGTTTGAGCTTGAAGACCCTCAGCTCGAGCTAGTACTGCTCGGACATTGTGCGTAGAACGTACTCTCCTGGCTGCAGAGTGTGTATCTTCGGGTCGCAGCTAACAGTTGAGCAGTGCGTCGCAAGGGAAGTAGAACTGCGAACGACGGCAACAACGGGATATCGAATATATCTTCAGATTCAAGCACGTGAGGAAGAATATGTTCCAAATCTGTTGTTTCGGTAAAGGACAATTTCTGCTACCCAAACAGTGTGGATACATAACTACGTGGTTCTTCCCCGTTGTATCCAACACCTTCCGGTGGAGCGACGCAGATTCGGAACTCGTTTGTCCTGGGTACGCTGTGGGGGGCGAAGCGAAACTCCCTGGTGGTAGGCTCCAGCGGCGCAGGCAAGACCGTGCTGGTGTTCTCCGAGCTGGCCAGGCTCCCCGAGACGCACTCGCAGCTCGTCATGAACTTCTCCGCCACGACGGACTCGGGCACCACGCAGGTGTGCGCTCAGGATGATGTGGTATCACCGCACAACACAACGTGAACGGTTTGCTGTGCCACCAGAACGGACGACTCCTCGTTCTCATTGACTTCGCTCGACACGTCGTTTGGCTACGGGGTGTGGTGGAACTTGGGGTACCACAAGGGCGAAAGGTGACCGTCACGCACCGCGTTCGTGAATGATATCCTGACGAACGAATACTCCAGCCCCGACTCCGTCTTGAAGACGAGCATTTACTCTAAATGCCCCCCGACTTACCTCAGGCAACCATTGAGCAAACGATGGAGAAGCGGTCGAAGGATAAGTTCGGACCCCTGGGCGGCAAGCAGCTTGTCATCTTCCTCGACGACTTTAACATGCCCATGCGGATTTCGCACGAGTCGCCCTTCCAGCCTCCGCTCGAACTGCTTCGGTTCTGGATGGACTACGGGGGGTGGTAAGTGCCGTACAGTATTCAGTGTGTGTCGCCTCTCCCCTCGTTAGCAAGGCATCCCGGCGGTCGTAATCTGGTGCGACAGTAGCATGCTCCATTCAATCTCTTGGTGGACGCCTTGCAGACTAAGTGGTTGGGCCAGACGAACTTGGGCATTTTTTGGCCATGGATACGTGACCATGGGTGAAACCCAGGAGGAGGTCCGGTGAGCTTGTTGGGTACTGGGTTGGGGTGGGAACTTCCCCGTAGTAAAGGCCGGGATACATATATTTGACGGCTATTACGCCACACTTTGTTCACCCAACATATACGTACGGAGGTGCTTACAGACACCCGGTTGCTTAGGTTTCATCTTTTCCGCTTGCGGTATCCTTCGACAGGTATGACAGGGTCAAGTGCGCGTGGAGGTACATCCTCGACACGCAACTAATCTGCGCCATGGCACCTCCGGGCGGTGCGAGGGCGGTTATTTCGTCAAGAACTCAAAGCCGGTTCAATGTTCTCAACCTCACTGTTCCGAACGATTCCCAGGTGTGATACTGTATGTTGGCTACAATCGAACGCGACGACACCAATAAACTAATAGCTAGCATGCTGGGCGACGTTCGGTTGTTGCTAGCGTTATCATCACCGTTCAGGAAAGCACTCTCGACCTGGCGGCCTCATTTGATGCAAGCACAGCGGTGATAGCGACAATTTCTACTTGAAACTGTGTTCCACTTCATGCACGCAACAAGGTGTAGATTGATCACGACCGCGAGCGCTTTTAGGATGTGAGCCAACGTAAAGGTGCCTCCCCCGGGAAGCTTTCTGCCCACCCTCGCCACGCAGCAATGCGCACGAAGCCACCGTATCGCTTCGAAGCTGCATGGCGTGACTTGAACGCCCGCGTTGCGTTTGCACACTGCCTAACTAACCACGCGCCATCGCAGGTTGTTCGAATCTTCGATTCGATCTTGGCGCCCAAACTGGCCGACTTTGACGTTGAGATCAAGCCCCTGGCTTCTCATATCGTACATGCGACGCTACGGGTAAGGATGGACGTACACTAAACAAAACCGTCATGAGTGTAATCACCGCAGTGTTGGACGTTTGAATCTTGAAGGGCAGCCTAGAGCTTAGAGCACACATGTGCTAGCAAAGCCATACCAGGGTTGTTTTTCTTCATCCTGTTATCCCAGAGCTCGTCGGGTAGAATGCGCAATGCTATGAGAAAGCAGCGCCGAACGCCGAGCTCAACGTGCCAGATTCCGGATCGACCCGCGAGGAAATTTGAGCCGAACGGAAAGCCAAAGGGATGAGGTCGTCTGAGGTTGCACCTTGACCGATCTCCATCTCCGAAAGGCATTACACCCTAGTCTACGTTTCACTCGCAATATCTCAATAGGGGCAACCTTTCGATCGAACTCTTGATTCGTGTTTTCGGTCGCATCAGGTCTACCAAGCATCCATGGAAACGTTCCTCCCCACTCCGGTGAAGTCGCACTACTTGTTCAACATGCGCGACGTCGCCAAGGTCATCGAAGGAGTGATGCAGGTCAGACGTACAAAATAGCTGGACGCTTGTTTGCGTTCTGCCAAGTCACGAAAGAAATTTTCGAGAACTACCGCAAATTGCGCTGTGAGACTATACATGTGGGGATACAACAGTATTAAACGGTGGAGAGTTGGAACCTGAACAAACGAAAAAACGGATTCCAAGTGTTGTTTATAGCGCAAATTGTTACAAATCCCTTTCGCATTCCTGCGTTTCCCCGGAGGACAGAATGAATACCAGTAAATCGGTCGATACCGCGAAAAAGAAAAGAAGCGGCACTCCTATGGCCAACCTATTCGAGTATTCATCGATGAGACTATCCGCGCTCGCAGCTCAGACACCATCGGGGAGCGCAACACAGCCCCGTGTCCACGACCCATCTCGCCTTTCGTTTGCAGGCATCGCCGAGCACGGTGGACACGAAGGAGGCGGCGATCCGGCTTTGGACACACGAGTGCCAGCGAGTGTTTTCGGACCGGTTTGTGCAAGACGCGGCGGACGACCAGGGCCGTTTCCGCGAGGTACGGTGTGACCCTTGCGATTCGGTTTTCGACGCCGCCTGCCCCACGAAGACGCGATTGTTGCCTGTTGCACCTAAACCTTGTCAGAGAATGCCCCATGTATCTAGGAAATTGATTTCCTCGCCGGCCGTCACGAAGTTGGTTGTGGCAATGATGTCCCGACTCTCATTTGAAGCCGAGCTCCATCGGAAGAGTAGGGCTACAGTATCATGAAACACGAATCTACCCACCAAAGGGCAACAGCGAGGGTGCAACCTTGGGACAGACACGTCCGACCTAGAAGATTGATCCCACGGCGCAAGAACACACCGAACCCCGTGCGAGGGAACGGTGTGACACACCGCCAAGGCATTGCCTCGAGACATTTTTCATGTCTTACACCGAGTGTGCGTCGACTGCACGAAGACTTCCACTAGTAACGTGGGCGCAAGACAACGCGTTTTGAAGGCTAGGGTTGCGGTTGTTCGCGGCCATCATGACCCAATGCGCAGGTGATCAACGCTCAGCTCAAGGTCACATTCTCGACCAATTGGGGTGAGCAGTTTTCCTCCTGCGAGGACGAGACGCTTGGGTCAGTGTTCACCGCCTGCTTCGGGGAAGGCGGCGATGAAGACATCAGGTATCAACACAGCGTTTTTGTTGCCAGTGTTTGGTCTTCAGACCATTTGAAGAGTCTTGATTTACATAGCCACCATTGACACAATACTCATGTCAAGAAGCACTTGGACGGGACCTCGTAGAAAGCATAAGGGCTTTGATACTGGTCTGTCTCCCGGTGTGCAAACTATAGTTCGTTGTCTTATTCCTATGCTTGGGTGCTGGTGCGTCGTATAAATTGTCAGCTACGAGGAACAACTATCACTGGTCAAGCTGAGGCAAGTTCTGGAGGAGCGGCTAGAAGACTATAACATGGAACCGAAGTTGGTGTCCATGCAGCTGGTTTTGTTCAAGGTACGGAAACTTGTGCGGGATTCACCCATGCTGGATGTACTCTGTTGGTTCGCACGCAATACTACGTGTGCTGGTAAATTCGTGAACGTCAAGGTCGGCTGACGTTTGTTGCGGATGTTCTGAAAAACATGCTGATTAACGATGACTACCGTCGGGTCCGTGTTCAAAAACTGAGAATTCGAAAAAGCTAGACACTCCTGAGGTCGTGCCGCTGCGCATTTAAATGTACCTATAGTATTCCCTCCACCCTGCAACTGCCGTTGATAATTCGAAGGACGCCGTTTGCCATGTGGCACGCATTCACCGCGTCTTGAGCCTGAAGCGGGGAAACTTGATGCTGGTCGGTGTGGGAGGATCGGGGCGGCAGTCCCTCACTCGACTGGCTGCCTACATCTGCGGGCAGGAGCTCTTCACCATCGAGATCACAAAGAACTACCGCCAAGTGAGCCGAGCATCGTATTTAGCCGCACGTCCCCATCGACTGGGATCAACCCCACGGAGATGATGTACTTTGTCACTTGTGGAGGTAGAAGATGAAAAAAATTACCTCCTCCTTCCCCTCCCTGGTGCACCCGGTGGAAGGCGCCTATTGTTTTGTTGAGGGGGGTGCAGGGTTACGACGCTTTAGTTGGGGTTCAATCGCGATACACTGCGATGTGTGCACCCACGCGAGAAGTACCGCAACTGACCCAGACACATAACTCCGCGTCGCTTGGGGGAAGGTGTCGCATTGTTGTGACGAGGCTGGAAATATATTAAGAGGATAATTTGTACCTCGTTCGTAGAAAACCACCGCCTGTGCTCGTTTCTGCCCCTGCTCGTGTGACGACCTTCGTGGCATCAACCAATACCAGGTTGAATTCCGCGAGGACCTCAAGGTACTCTTCGAGAAAGCCGCTGTGGGCGGGAAACCGGTTACCTTTCTCTTCAATGACAATCAGGTGCACAAATCGCCGCATGTCCCATGAAACAAGCTCGTGCCTTCGACTTATATCGTTCTCCTGGAAAATCGAGAGCTATTCGGTTTCTGGGGGTATTGATCGTCATGACAAAGGGCAAACTGGACAAGAAAAAGTATTTCCAACTCTATCAACCGGTGCCTAGCAGATTGAATAACTCACTCACAGTCCGACCTTGCTTGTCTTGGAACTCTGTGATGTATCTCCCGAAACACGTCGACGAACGCATCAGCCCTGGAACGAACTTTTTTCTTCCATATGTCTCCTCCGAGTTTTGATGGATCCTCGATTCTGTGCCGGGACGTCGTCTTCGATTTGATCTTCACGCTGGTTCGAACTCAACTTCGATGAACCCTGCTCCTGCTGCTACATCAGCACAACTCAGCCTTTCTTGTCTCACGTTTATCGGTATTCCCCCGTCCAATCTTTAGATCAAGGAGGAGTGCTTCTTAGAAGACGTGAACAACGTCCTCCAATCGGGAGAGGTCCCGAATCTGTACGGGAAGGACGAGATCCCGCTGGTGCTGGACGGAGTACGGAAGACCGCCAAGAAGGCTGGCGTCGACGAGACTACCGAGGCTCTCTGGGGCTTCTTTGTCGACCGGTGAGGCCTCGGGGATAAACAAAATCGACGTGACACCTTCGCGTGGTGGTTTTTTAAAAGCTTCCTCTTGTGTGGCGTGCTGGCATGCTCGTATTTCCCGAGAAAACAGCTACGCTAGCCTATCTGGCGAGGCCGAAGAGGATCTCTACGGTTTCGTTTTGTTCCAGGGGGTGCCGCAGAATTCACCATGAGTGCGTCTGTCCTCATCGTTTAGGGTGGAGGAGCGTTCAGGGGAACATTTGCCGATCTCTCCCGTGTTCCATGTCTCGCGTAATCTTTGTCGTTTCCTGTTCTGCCTCTTGCCAAACGCAAACTCCTGGCCCCACATTTGACGAGTACCCTTTCTCCTGGCGGCAGAAGCAAGAGGCAAATCAGCAGTAGTGTCGTTTTGATTGCTCGACCGTCATTGCCGCCACTTCCCTTCTCAATATACTTGCTGCAAACACAGGGTTCGGGAAAACCTCCACGTCGTGCTAGCGATGTCGCCGATCGGAGACAGCTTCCGCAACCGCACGCGAATGTACCCCGGGTTGGTGAACTGTACAACCATCGACTGGTTCCAGCCTTGGCCTGCCGATGCCCTAGTGGAGGTGGCCACGAAGTTCATCCAAGACATTTCGGTACGTCAAGGGAAAGACAAGCGCTTATTTTGTTGATGTTGTTGATGTTGTTGTTGTTGTTGTTGTTGAACCTGAGAACCATGCTGGAAATTATCCCCTTAGACTATCTGTTTCCTGGACTCCTTCTAACGTTTCGAGCACAGATGGAGGATGAATCCCAGCGGGCGAAGGTCGCTTCTGTGTTTTCGTGCATGCACACTTCAGTGGTGGTGGCCAGCGAACGCATGCTGGTGGAGCTGAAACGCCACAATTACGTTACGCCGACCAACTTCCTAGAACTTGTCAAGGTGAGCTCAACACGTTGGGCATCACTCCATCTCCGACCGACCCTGAAATCGATGAGTACATGGCACTGCCAGGTAGGAAGCTTCACCGATTGCCGCAGTATCTCTTTTGACACTCACCCTCCCAGTCTTGAGATGCTCAAGGGCTGTCCTTTACCTCGCCAATCTGTTGCCCTTGCGGTCGTTGAAAGGGATACAAAGTGATTCTGGCAGAAAGGCGTGGGACGCTGTCCGAGCAGCGCAACAAGCTCAGAAACGGGCTGACAAAGCTGGAGGAAGCACGAGAACAGGTACCTTCAGAATGTAGATTTACGCCACAGACGTTGCCGGAAATCTTGCAAGAACGAGCAAACTTGTTGACCACAGGAATGAACTTTGGATTCGTCCAGGCTCGTTGGAACGAATCAGCAATGCAACGTTGTGATGGGAACCACGGGAAATACCGGTTACTAAGCTCGATACAGTTCTGACATCCTACCATGTCATGCTTGTCAAACACACCAAACCACACTCCTGATCATCGAGATCGTTCATTGAATTTTCTCAAGTGGCAGACCTCCATTCACCTATTGCCAGCATATCACAATTTTTGGTTCCGCCTACGCGAAAAAGATGGGGCGCTGCTGAGAAGAGGGGGGACGAGGTCACGGCCAGCAAGTAGTTACTCAATGCTGCACCTCCTAGTGATGGTGACTCCTAGTCTCAGTTGTTACCTCGCATAGCGCGCAGAGGGAGTGGAGGACTCCAGAATATCTGTCGTTGATTTCTACTGACTTGCGGACCCCTCGGGGCCATTATATTTGGGTGCACCTTTTAAGGGTAAGTTAGCTTGCGACCACGGGAATCGACCGCGTCGAGTGTTGGATCAGTACGGACATACGGAGGTACTGGAAAGTGAGAGATCGGAACGGTTTTTAATGTCAAGACAACAACAACCACAAACCTCAATTCATCAATATTGTGGGACGGCGGTATCAACAGGTGGAAACGATGTCGGTGGAGCTAGAGGCAAAGAAAATCACGGTGGCAACGGCACAGAAGGACTGTGAGGAACTGCTGGTGGAGATTGTCTCAGAACGGAGGGTGGCGGACGAGCAAAAGAAGCAGGCAAGCCAATCCAAACGCCGTACCTGATGTTGCTGTTGTTGTGGCCATTTCTGTTCTGACTGCTAGGCAATATTTCCTCTTCCCTGATGTCTGAAGGCAACAATGAACTTCCGTATTTCAAAAGCAAATACGAAGCATCCGGTTCATGGTGGAAACCAATCGCCCCCATCTCGAGTAGCGCACGCAACGTTCTACAGCATGAGAGCGCAACAAGTATTGTATGTCCATGCCATGGGCATCGCACACCTCATGCTTGCCTCGTACACGAAGTTTGGATGTTAACGAGATGCTTAAACGCAGCAATCGGCGTTTCGTTGAGCAAGAGCAGGAAGCAATCTGTGCTTCTAGAGAATTCCTCTTGTGGCGAGTGTATAAATGACATCGCCGGTAATGTCAGGCTTCAAGCCTGAAGCCGAAAGCAGTAACCATGATGCATTCGTTGTCTGTAACAGGTGGAACAAGAGTCGGAGAGAATAGGGAAAGACGCGACTGAGTGCCAGGTTATCGCGGACGACGCCCAGGCTGATCTGGCGGTGGCCATGCCAGCTCTGGAACAGGCGATGATTGAAGTCGACAAACTCGACAAGACCGCAATCACCGAGGCAAGGCGTCTTCGTGCTGCTCGCCATTGAAGGCCGGAGGCCAGTGCGGTAGTGTTTTTCTTCACTGTACAATACGTGCAATTGAATGCAAATGCCAGGACGAACACTTGCTGGGGCCTCGAAATTGTGTAGGCCCCGACGTCATGCGCCCATGTGAACGTCACAGCGTACTTCCCCGGCATCTACGCCGGAGTGCTCACTACGCGAGCGCGGAACAATTGCTTTGAAATGTACTGAACAGCAGTTGGTGGTGTCCCACAGGTGAAAGCCTACTCAAAGCCGCCCCCTCTGGTGGAGACCGTGATGGCCGCGGTAATGACCATGATGGGGAGGGGCTCTGACTGGGCCACTGCCAAAAAGGCCCTTGGAGAAGGAAACTTCCTTACACAGGTACTATCCGCGCAATTCAATCTCGCACGCAACCTCGTCAATCAAAGCATCATCCACGACCCCAAGTCCTCCTGGACCGAGCGCGGGGAGGTCTGTTGATTTCGCCCGAATCGAAGGGGGTTGGGGAAGCAAGGTCTATCCTCTCTTTTTGCCGGACATTCTAAGACGCAGGGCAGGTACCGCAATGATGATAAAGCTGAACAGCCTTAACTTCATCAGGCGAACAAACACCCCCCCTTACGATAAGTGATAGTGGGACCGTAAAAGAAGATACCCGTCATGGTATTCGACGAACTTGCCTTTGGCGTAAGGTGGGACGAGCACGATGACCGAAGATGAACTTCACCGAAACCCTCTCGGTTTGTTGGCTTCTTCATTTTTTTGTCGTGAACAGATCAAGACATTTAACAAGGACAACGTCTCCAACGCGCTTATGACAAAGATGAAGAAGTACGTCAACAACCCCGACTTCTCGTTCGAGAACGTGGCGAAGGTGCGATCGACAAGTTCAGCGTAAAATGGAATGAGTTGTAGGCTTGGCTTTACCGTGTGTCAGGTCCGTTCAACTCTCTTGTTGTTGTCCGAGAGTGTTCAACTCTTATGCACCTTACCCAAGTGATCTGAATTCGTTCCCCATGCGATTTGTCCCAGTCCCCGGCTATTGCTTGCTGAAAGGGACGAAAATCTCCCTTCAAAGGAGTACCTTCATGTAATATTGACTCTTTCAGTATGTCCGTATCCATGGACTAATTCCTGCCACTCATTTCACTCTTCCATCGAAGCAACTCACTACACTTTACGCATCGCTGCGACTGGTACTGAGGGAACTTGCATTCCCTGGCCTCTTCCGTACCATTCAAATACTTTCCTGCCTCGCATGCGTGCGCAATGGTATCGCAGGTTTCTTCTGCAGCTTCGGCGCTGTGCGTGTGGGTGCACGCAATCTACTTGTATGCCAACGTCGCCAAGGACGTCGCACCGAAACGCGCACGCCTGAAAGAGGCTCAGGTACGTGCGTGCCTCCTTTTGATTTGCGGAAGGTTTTACTGTCATCTCCACCAACGGTATCGATTGTCTGAATATTATTGACTTTCGCAAGGACACTGCTACGGACGGGAGCGCCTGAGTTCCGTTGGACTAGCAAAGGTTTGGTGGGCTTCCCCGACGTAGTCAAGACACTATTTTCCATCCTGACCCAGGGACTTCGTTCACACCCCGTACACTTCGCTCGTCCACGACGGCACGTTGGCTTTCGGGGGCCACGGAAAATTCTAGGCGCTTGTCTGCATCAATCGGGCCTTCCCGCTAACCCCCAAGTTGTTCCCAACGAGCGGCGAGCATCTTCTCGATGGGAGATGTTGTTGTTGGTGAATACAAACGTTTGAGAACCATATTGGAGCCGTTCAACGTCCAGTCGATTCTGCGAGAAATCAAACATAAACAGCATCTAACGCTGTTGAACGGATCCACTACAGCACAATACCCAGGTTCCTGCCATGTTCGTCGCAGGTATTCGTGCGGCGCGGAGAAGATCATCCCGCCCCATGCAATATTTCGAGAGTTATTGCAGTCAGTTTCATGCGGTGATACGATTTTCCTACGAATCCTAATTGCCAACGTGGCACGTCGCGTATGATGTGTTTATCTGTGTGCAGGAGACCCTGGCTACCAAGCAGGCTGGGTTGAAGGCCGCCCAGGACCAGTTAGCAGAGGTCGTCGCCAAGGTGACTTGACGCATCGGCTCGAAACCGTCAACCGTTATCTAGAGTATAGATTTCGGGCGTGGTTCATCTTAGGCCAAGAATTGCTACCGCTCGACTTTCGTGCAGGCAAGAACCGTGCAACCAGAACTTCTCCACGATTGGTACAAGCTCCCTTCATCGTTTGGGAAGAGCAGTACTTTCCGTGCGTTTGGTTCTATTTAGCTGAGGGTTGCATGCTATTTTCTTCGGATAAGAACAACACATCCAAAAACTCGTCTCGCATGCTATCTTGTTTTTCCCGTGGGTCTCCGCGTAACATTCCACGACAGGTTCAACTCCTCAAAGACCGCTACGACGAGTCGGTTGGTCAGAAAAACGCTCTGATGGAAGAGTCGCAGATGCTGCAGGTGAGATGGTTCTCGCCAGACTGTCAAATTCAACATCAAACCGCATCGACCCAGTCATCGAGGCATCTCAGATCGTCTCAGAGCCAGTGGTGTGGAAGCCTTCCCGTTGTTCTCCTCACATGGGCAGCTTAGACATGCGTACCACAAACAGTCGTGTAGCTGCTCGCCCTAAAGGCGCCCGGGCGCAGTTTCGCTTTTACTTTGTTCCCTTGTTAATTTCTCAGGGTTCACCAAGCCCTATCCTCCCTCACCCGTCTGAGGCGCAAGTTAAACAATACCCCATCCGCGATATCAATCTTATGTGTGTTTCCATGCAGGACAAGCTGGAGCGTGCGGACAAGCTGGTAAACGGCCTGGCGGGGGAGTTCGTCCGGTGGCAGGCATCGATCGGTACCTTCGAAGTCATGATCGAGCGATTGATCGGAGACTCGCTCATCGCGGCGGCCTTCCTGTCGTATGCCGGAACTTTCGACACCGTTTACAGGTGAACTAGGACCCTCATTGTGGAATGATATCGACGACGTTTGCCAACGAGATGTGGATTGTATTAATGGACAGTTGAGAGGTTCGGGGAACCTTACGAACAGTCCAGAATACCTACCGGTCACAGATGTTCGTCAGGCGTTCATTGGTACTATAATAGAAGTAGCAACGACCGCAAGTTGCGCTAATCAGCTTTCTTGGTACCGCTAGGAACGGTTTGGTGTCCGGGTGGATGAGAGATGTCGATGCTCAGGAGCTGCCGTCGACGGAAGGATTCAGCTTCACCGCTTTCCTGGCCAAACCTACGGATGTCCGAGCGTGGAATATTCAGGTGCGTGTAGCTTTGCTGCGGTTGTTGTTATTGCTCGTGTTCATATTGGGGACATTGCCTGGTTTCCTGTTGGTTGGTTTGTAGCCGCTCCAAGGAGGGTGCCGCGTAGAAATGACTTGGATGAACTCGAAACGTGATCCTCCCCTCGACTCGGGATCAAACACACCACGCCAATCCCATTGCATCACCAGGGTCTCCCCAAGGACGAGTTCAGCACGGAAAACGGGGTAATGGTGACGAGAGGTAGCCGGTGGCCGCTCATGATCGATCCTCAAGGCCAGGTCAGCAGCGACATGACTCGTCCGACTCTGGCAAACAAACAACGAAGTTCACGATAGTAGCAAATGCCACAGCACTCACGGGTTGAGCATAGGATTTATGTATGCTGTCGTACATGAGCCTCTCTGCCGTGCCTGCACGCCTTCGTCTACCACGCCCATCGTGCGCCGCTCGTGCCACTTGTCAATTACCGGTTCGTGGAATTGTTGCAGCTGACATTAGCGATCTGCTAACAGTTGCCGTTGCGCAGTTCTCGGATGATGGTCGGTTCACGTCATGGTATACCTGACACGCATGAAGCAGCAGCACAACCAACGGACGCCTCCATTTAGATTGGTGGCTATCTCGAGGAGTGTTCGCATGCAGTAGAGTGTGTCCGGAATTTTTTCAGATGACTAAATCTCTTTCACACGGGTGTCACACAGGCGAACAAATGGATTAAGGCTATGGAGGGAAGCGATCTCACTGTGGTGGATCTCAACACCAAGGATATGCTTCGCCAAATGGGCAACTGCATCCAGTACGGACTGCCGTGTCTTCTTCAGGTATGCGGGATGCAGGTTTTATGCTGCCAAAAACATTTTCAGGGAATGGCTTTGCATCCGAAAACCCTTCCCTGGTCCCAGCCCCCTACCACTCGCTTCAAGTGATAAACCGCGGTACATCTTGGGATTTCTCTGTTCCGTTCGCATCTGAAGAGGAACAAATTCTCCATCTCCGACTGCCCGATTTTGCTGCGTTCGTTGAGCTACCCTAGTTCGTCTGTATACGCCACACGGGCCGAAGAGGCTGAGGCGATACACAGGCCGGTGTTGCGGACGAACTCTCATGAGCACATGATACCCCTTACGCTTTGCATCTCCCAAGTTTACTTATCTTGATTTCCTCAGACGGGCAAATGTCGGATATATTTTTGTTTCCATCTATCCAAGAAATAGTCCAGTTGTCCAGGTCTCCCTCTTGGACGATGACTAGATCTCCCTTGCAAGTCACTACACTGTTGGTGCCGTTGTTTGCTAGGATGTCCTAGAGGAGCTGGATCCGTCGATTGAACCGGTGATGTCCAAGGCCATCATCAAGCAGGGCAACCGCGAGGTTGTACGGCTAGGAGACAAAGAGCTTGACTGGTCCCACGACTTCCGTCTGTACATCACCACGAAGCTCGGCAACCCGCACTATACACCAGAGGTGAATGGTGACGCTTCTGAACATGCCCAACATGACGGACGAGACTTGCACATTTCTCTACTACAAATATTAACGTTGGAGCCCTCTTGCACCTGTTGATCGTACTATTTTCAATAATGTTCGGCACCGATGTCAAGCAAGCGCACTGCTGCAAAGAGAAACCAATGCTCGCATTTGACTAAAAAATCATAGAAAAAAAACTCTAAGCAAAAAACGAATGAGGAGTTTCAAGCAAACAGTGTGCTGTGGCAATAATACTACTATTGTTTTCCGCGATTCAGTTGATGCCACTTATCCACAGGGAATCATCGCCAACAACACCTGACTATGTGACATGGATGCTCATTAATATGAAGCTGCACATCGTGGACTCTAGGGCCTGTCTTACTCGTGACGGTGTGTCTCCATGAAAGCAGACGATAACACGACTGTGCCCTTTCAAAAGTTCGTGCGCAAGCGAATTCTCCTTTTCTCGAGCCAACCTTGGCCTGGCGCATGGTGTTCGATGATCTTAATAGACACGATCTTGTGGCTTTGTTTCGGTATCTCAGGTGTCGACGAAAACGACGGTCGTGAACTTCAGCGTGAAACAGCTCGGTCTAGAAGCACAGCTCCTCGGAATCGTGGTCCAGAGGGAGCAACCCTCGCTCGAGGAGCAGTCGTCGGAGCTAACCGTAAAGGTGAGCCAGTCGTTTTTATTCGATGTTCGTGAAGGATCTTGACGACACGTTGCGAGGACCCCAACCAACAGAAAAGCAGCATGCGTTGATGTAAGGTACGATGAATCGCATGCCACATGTGCGTGCCTATTTGGTGATTGGCGAAGTTGCAGCCGTCGGAGCGCACCAATGCAATGAGCTGTTTCCCACCGCCCCATCACTTTTAGTGCCACCAAAACAGCGTCCATGGACCTCGGTGTTGCTTCGAGTTCAGATTCATGATGTGTCTGGTTTCAATCCCCCTTTTATAGCACGTTGCAGGTGCTGCGAACATTGCCACTTTAGTGTATTGCTTGCTTTTAACGGTGTACCCATGAGTGTACCCATGTGTATGGTTTCATGATATAGAAGTAGGCAAATATGTTTTCGCGAGCCAACCCCCCAGCTGCAATGTCCTGTCGATGTTTTTCTGACAACAGGTGGCGACGGGTAAAAAAAAAATCGCGGATCTGGAGGATGAGATCCTTCGCCTGCTGTCAGAATCTACGGGATCGCTGCTCGACGACATGAACCTGGTCAACACTTTGCAGGACTCCAAGACGATCTCGGAGGAAGTCACGCAGCAGCTTCAGGTCTGTTGCTATTCACGTTGTTGGGTGTTTTTGATGGAAAGGTTATTGTTGTCGCCGTCGTCGACAAAACCGATGGTACGCCGCACGGTCCACAGCAAATCCAAGAACCGTCAAGGTGACGGCGAGCCAGTACCAATCATACATTTATCGGGTCCTTTCTTTTACATGTGCAGATCGCCGAAGAGACCGCGGTGAAAATCGACGCTGCGAGGGAAGGCTACCGGTCGGCCGCCATTCGCGCCAGCGTGGCCTACTTTGTCCTTGATGACCTTTCCAGGGTGGACCCAATGTATCAGGTCGGTCCAACTCGGGCTCGGCTAGGCTGCAATAGAACAGGAGAGTAGTTTAAGTGAGACAAGGTTGGAAAAGGTAAGGATAGGCTACGTTTAACTTGGACACGCCTGGCCACATGTGTAATGACGTCCTACCATCAAGCCCGTGCGATACAAGTTTGATGTGGAGCACCAATCCCCTACCTCTTTTCCTCCCATACACTGATGTCCCCCTTGCCCACCCCCCCCACCCCGCCCACTTCCCTCGCAATCGTGCGACACATCCGTCCTTCACTTGCGGAAATCGTCCAGTTTTCTCTTGACGCGTACGTGGATCTGTTCAATGCCTCGATCGAGTGCAGCAGGACGGGTGAGGAGGAAGGTGTCGCCGACCGCTGCGATGTCATCAACAAGTACCACACTCGATCCGTCTACGAGTACACGTGCCGCGGGCTGTTCGAAAGGCATAAACTGCTTTTCTCTCTACAGGTAATGACTGCTGCAAATGCCGCCGCCGCGTCTTTTTCTACAGTCGGCCGTTCTTGTCGTCGTCATTGTTGTTGTCGCCTTTCGTGGCGGTGATGATGATCACATCGTCGCGTGTTGTTGCTGTTGCATGAGAGCGGGAAGCTTCAGATGGATGCTAACCATGGAAAGGATTCAACCTTTCCCGGCGGGGAAAGGTCTCTCGTTCCAACGTCGGTACAGCTGCTCGAGTTTAGCCACAACCAGTGGGCGTTCGGTTACGATGTGATATCCCCTCTTGGCAAACAGTAGGAGCCACCAGTACAAACCAGTGTACGGTGTCTGCAACAGCAGATGAAACATGCTTCTCCATGTTCCTGGTTCTCTCTCTGCCCACCCCACAGCTGTGTTTCCGCATCTTGGAGCAAGAGAAGAAGGTCCCCGCCGACGAGTTCAACTTCTTGCTCTACGGAGGGATCGTTGTCGAAAGGTAGTACTCGAAGCACCGCAAGGCGTGTGTTGCCGTAGAACATCGTGCTAGCTTCGCATGCGTGGACACGTTTACAAAATCTCAAAGGCTGTAATTGGACCGTGCTGCACGTGGGGATATGAGGGAGTCGGGGTTAGAGGTAGCGGTGTCTTGCCCTTTGGTGGGCAATGTAGGCATCGGTGCCGAAAAGTGCTGTCTCTTTACCTCTCCTTTGGAATGGCAGTGCTTGACTGACCTCGCAGCTTATTGTTCGTTTTTGTTTGTGCATTGTTGACGCGAGCGATGTTCATTCAGAACACGACATCTCTCCATCCGTGTTGCTTGCGCGGTGGCAGGTCAGGGCAACGGCCAAACCCTTGCAAAGATTGGGTCGATGAAACCGCGTGGGACAACATCACGGAGCTCGACAACTTGGGCGCCTTTTCGGGCTTTGCGCTTTCCTTCGAGCAGGCAAGTTGTCGCGGGCATCTCGTGCCAGATAATATTGGTCAAACCCGAATCAGCGTGCACGTTGAGCGCCCTAGCGCGACGTTCATACCCCAGGAAGCACGTTCAAGATGTGTAGGATTGTATCCTCGGCCGGCCTACTTTCGAGAGAAGTTATTTTCCGAAGTTGCCTACAAGCAAGGTAACGGGAACACCGCCGTAGACCGTGAAGGTCAAGAGGACAGCTACGACGTATGCAATGTCTCGACGTTCGTCAAACTTTGCGTTCCCCGCACGGCGGTCATGACGTCTGCCCATGATAGTCGCCCCGAGAGTGGAAGGCGTGGTTCCTATCGGCGAAGCCCGAGGAGTCGCCTCTACCGGGAGACTGGGAAAACAAGTGCTCCGACCTGCAGAGGCTGTGCGTGCTCCGCTCCCTTCGTGCCGATCGCATCCTCTTCTCGGCTGCGACTTACGTGTCCAACAATCTCGGGCCCCAATTCGCTGATCCGCCGGCGTTCGATCTGAAGGTGCTTTTGGTTGTCCTGCCGCTGGTTGTACATGTGTGCGTTTTATTGTGCACAAGCAAGTGCCGAACAAATCGAGTGCATGAATATGCAGGAATCTACAGTTCGTCAAGCGTCGGTTGGCGTCATATTGTACTTGCGTACACCCTCAAACATCCTGGACAATCGTCCTATCATGTCTCACATTCAGTTCACCTTAAGACACAGCAGAACTCGATGATCAGGCAAGACGCGGGCCCCTTGATGACTCCGCACTCGTATTGTCGAAAGCATGGAAGTCAATCTTTCTCTCGCATCATTTGCGGCCCTCAATTGCGATGCAGACAGTGTTCAACGGATCTACTCCCAGAACACCGCTGATTTTCGTGCTTTCGCCCGGAGTGGATCCCACGGCTCAGGTGGGTGCAACAAAGACAAGGGCAGCGATCTCTGTTTCTGTGTGGTTTCTTGCTACTCAACCATCGTCTAATTTGAAGGTTGAAACGCAAAGAACCATTCTGTGTATCCCACCCCATCTTTACTTGCTGAGAGACCTCCGCAAGGTGGTGGAACACGAGACGCCTGTAAAGAGAGGCACAGTCGAAGCTTCGCGGGCCCGTTGCGGCAGAATCAGCACCCGCCCATTGCGAACGGTCCTCGGCAACACCTCAAACCATGGCTCGAGGTCAAGGGAGCAGGTCCACAGGGCGAACCAAGTCTTGCCACACGGGCAACAGAATAGACACATATAGCAGTATCGCATTACAGCAATGAGTCGAACACGAACTACTTAAACTTACTGGACACGCAGGAAGGCCATATTGTTTTGAATCTGCGATAATGCCTAGGATAGGGGACATTCAGCGAAACACCTCGAAGCCAGCACCGTGCTCCCTCGCAGGCGCGTGTTGATATCATCTCGTTCATCCTGCGTTCGGCCAAGAGGTTCGCTATTCCCACCTACCAGTAACATGCACTGCTGTTCCAATTTTGGCTCTTTGTTATGTTCGCTCTACCTACCGCAGGTCCAGTCCCTCTCCGTAGCTCAAGGGGTTAAGATGTCCAACGTGGCCTTGGGTCAGGGGCAGGCTCCAGCTGCCATCCGAATGATAGAGGACGGCGTTAGCTTCGGCAATTGGGTGTTCCTCGCGAACTGCCACCTGATGCTCTCGTGGATGCCTGAGCTAGAGAAGGTTCGTTTGGCGCTGCTACCGGACGGATATGACGAGACACTGGTGGCGTTGATATCGCTCATCATGCTTCCGGTCTCGTCGACAGGAGATGTGCATACGCGAAAGAAACTTCTCCATGACCGGTATTTTTTTTTTTCTCCCATCATTGGACTCTGTCGTCTACCCCTCTGGCCCCTATGCTCCACTTCTACTAGCTAGACGACCCAACCGGGGTCACACAGGAGGGGGGGGTTGGGCCTCCTCCTGCGGTTCCTGCCTGAGATATTTTTATCGCGAGAAGGGTACAGCAATCCCTTCCCTCGCGACCTACGAAGCCGATTATGGTTTACTAACAACGAGCTTTGCAGCGTGTCGCTTTCATCCTAGACCAGGATTTATTACGTGAGAAAAAAACTCACGCTGCCGGGACTCGAACGCATGACCTGGCCCTTAGCAGGCTGCGAGGGTACCCACTAGACCACCGGGGCGTGCAGCAACCGCAAAAGCTGGTGGAAGGCAGAGAGCACTACCTCAGCAAGATTCCTTCATCCGCTTCTCCACCCTACGTGCATTACTAAATGGGCATAGGAGGTGTTTAAAACACAACGCGCAGGACCGACTGATTCTCCCTGCTATGGCACGATTCTCGTCGCTGGCAATAACATGAAAAATTACGGCACAAGAAGCATGTCCCGGCCGCACCACAAAGCTCAAAGCTTTTCCTTATCTACTTGTATCCACACAACAAAACCTCCAACGACGATCAGACCTCAGTGTCAGCGTCTCGACTCACTTGTTTTGCCACCGGTTCTCCTCCCAGATCGTGGAGGATTTGTGTGTCGGAGAGCCGCACGAAGATTTCCGGCTGTGGCTTTCTTCCGGACCACACCCCAAGTTCCCCATCTCGATTCTCCGGCGAGGGTTGAAGATGACCACGGAGCCCCCGGCGGGTCTGAGGGCCAACGTGTCGACGCTGTATAACATCGTCAGTCCGGTACGTGACAAACGGGCTTGTGTCAAACTTTCTCAGCCTGTACTAGGCGTCATACTCCTGCTGATGATGAAAAGAGAAATATTATTTGCGAATGAACATACGCATCCCCCCCATATGCCCAACAAGCCGGCCTCAGAGTGGGTTACTTGCACAAAGAGCAACGAGAAACGATCGTGCTGCGGTAGATCAGGTAGGGAGGGGCTCCTTGGGGGTTCCCCTGAGTAAGCCTCTTGCAGGATATTCTACTGTAACACTAACGTCATTGTTTCACTCTCGACTGTCAAACGTAGTGAAAGCCCGCTAATTTCCGTTTCGGAGTCGACTACGGTTGTGCTCCTCATCATCCAGACATCTCAAGACGACCTCACGAGCATTGTTGGCTCGACGTTGTTGGAGGCAATAGTTCGGCCCCCCTTACGTCAGATCCGCGAACTCAATCGCCAAATGAAACGAACACAATGACATCCATGGTTTGATTCTTTTATAGCCTCTGAGCACGGCACCGCGCGGCGGTTTTGGATTAAACCGCCCACCTAAACGTTGTTGGTCAGCCGTGATACTGTTAGTTTCTGCCACTTGTATGCTGTTTCTATCCTCCCTGTTCCGTTCCGCTAAGCCATTTCACGGTTTCGCTCATGATCCCTCGTTGACTTCGACTCGAGAGAAACACCACATCTCGAGTCATCACCAAGCTAAATCCAAAGTAACCCGTTCCCAACGGAAACCGCCGAAACAATCGACAGGAACAATTCAGCCGGTGCGGACAGACGTTCCGGTACCGCAAGCTGCTCTTTTCCCTTGCCTGGTTCCACGCCATCCTCCTCGAGCGCCGCAAGTTTAAGAGCCTGGGCTTCAACGTGCCGTACGAGTTCAACGAGTCGGACTTCAGCATCTGCCATGATCTCGTCATCGTGTTCCTGGATGAGGTAAGGAGGGCCAGTGGTCAAACGGTGTCAGGAAGGCGTGAAGAACGAGCGAAACCAGGAGGTGCTAAGGGCACAAAAATGCTGCACCTTCCCGTTTGAGCAGGTTTGTTTTGGGTGAGTTTTTTGTTTTCTGCACAGCTAAGTGAATGCCTTACTCGGTGGTCCCCCTTGACGTTTCCTTGGCAGTACCCAGACAAGCCACCGTTCGACGCCATGAGGTATCTGATCGCAGAGGCTAACTACGGTGGGAGGGTTACCGACGAGTGGGATAGAAGGTGATCCTTCGGTTAGACATGGCCGTACGTACTGAAGTTCACGTACATGTACATGATTCAGAGCTTCATAGTCTTCTAACAGTGTAACGTCTTAGGTTGGTCGCGCCGCATGCACCATTCGACAAATGGGGGACGACCTGACACATTGGACGAAAAACATGGAGACATGCTTTGTGATTTTGCTTGGTGCATGTTGTTGGGTGTCTGGCTTCTACGACCTGCACGGCTTTTCTGGGCAGTAGGGTACTGCCAAGCCCCCATCTTCAAGTACAAGGGGCGAAAAGCGCTCCAAGCGCTTCGGTCGTAGTCACCCTTCATCCGACAGATTTCTCTGTGCACATCTTTCATGTCTCGCTCAAGGGTGCTAGACCCGATTATCGTTCCCCTATGGCGGTAAAGGCCGGGTCAACCACTGCTCTCTCCGTATTCTTCGTCGTCCCTTGTCCAGCCTAGATGCCAATCCTTGTCCATACACATCGACTTTCTTCTCGTATCTCTGCGTTCGTGACGTCTATTCTTGTCGTACGCTCGGCAGGCTTGTGAACGTGTACATGAACCAGTACTTCTGCCCCGCAGTCATCGAAGAGCCCAACTTCCTCCTGTCCGAACTGAAGGAGTACTACGTCCCCCCAGATGGCGATCTCCAGTCGTATAAGGCAAGTCACCTTCAAGCCGTGCTGTTCCCCCGAACCATCGACTGGGTTGCCATCAGGCTTTCGTTTTCACATCATTCTCTCAGTTTTCTGTTGGTCTTTCGCGCCTCTCTCTCCCTCTTGTCACTCGATCCCATAGTCCCCCTTGCTCCATTGAGTCAAGCGTCTCGTTATTTCAACACCCCTTGATAGATATCCACGTGCCTTGTATGTATGTTGTTATTATTTGGGGGATGGGCGGCGGAACTGCGGAGCCACACGCTTGCTTGTGTGCCCACGGTTCGTATGAGGTAAACACCAGCTCTCCCGCCACCGACGTAGCAAGGGACTCCCGTGATTGTTCTACCTGGATCGCTCAATAACGATGGTTCAACTGAGGACAATATTCAAAATTCAAACAGTCGCTCTCCAGATGTAGTTCTGAGAGTCGGCAAAAACATGTCAACACAAAAAAAAAAACTAGACACAGTAGCAGCTCAGGTGCCGCTTGTGGCTAGCAGAGGGAGCACGAAAAGGTTGAGCCTAGCGTGGTTCTGACGTTTCGTCACCCTGCCGATGCAACAGGAGTTCATCAAGAGGTTTCCCAAGACGGACCACCCTGCGGCGTTCGGACAGCACGTCAACGCCGACATCACCAGCCTCATCGAGGATACCAATGCGCTGCTCGGGACTATGGTGAGTCGCGCCCAAGGACGCTTGAAGAGCAAAAACATGGTATACATTACCTCCAAGCAATTTGTAACCATCGATTCCCAAAGAATCAGACCGTGCCTTCCTACCGCAGCACTTCCAAGCCTGGTACAGTGCTCGATCCACCGAAAATAATCCGTATGAGTCAGCGATAGCCACATTGATGGAACTCCGCAGCTTTATCGGCGTTGGCGACTACCAGCGGGCTGATCAACATTAGCAATAGACGATGCGCGGCCTAAGCATTTCCCTTATGGCGTGACTCCCGGGGGGCAAGCCATACCACATCCATGACATGCCCACCAACATCCCAGCGATAGTAACGGATCCATCGATTTGCGAGATTGGCTTTTTAGGACCATGGACGATACCCGGGTTGGCAAGGGTTCTTAGCGACGCCTGTGGTTCTTTTCAAAAATGTCAGGAGGCGGATTGACTCCATCGACGTTTCTTTGCGGGGCAGATATACACTACTGAGGAGCTGCGCCAAAACCATCCCTCTTGTTCTCGAGCGTTTTGCATGCCTCTTTGCTGAACCCGCCTGACGTGGTTTTTAGCGCAATTTGTTTGCTCGATCCCCCGCGCAAGCGCAGCACCTGGCGGTTGATATCTGTACCATTGCTGTCTGGTTCACTCTCCTGTTGCTTCTCGTTGGTGTGACGACAGGTTTCACTGGCACCGAAGACTGTGTCCGCAGGGGGCGAGACGAACGAAGAGAAAATCAGCAAGCAGGCCAATCTGCTGTCGGAACAAGTGCCCAAGGCCTTCAACATCAAGGTGAGCCGAGCCGCGGCGTGTCTATGAGCGATCCCCTCTCCATCGTACAGTGACTACAAAGACCTCGTTTGGCGGGGAATATCCCTGGGCAGACATATGCAGCGACGAGGGGGGTACCCGGCGAGAATGTGCAGTTGTTGAGTTGAACGTCATTGCCCATGCGAAGGGCATCCGGTACTTCAGCCCAGCCCGAACGAGTGCGAAGAACGAGCGCACAGGCGTAATACGATGTTGACACAGGTGGGGCACAGCTCTCGTCTTCCCCTCCTTAGCGTAGCTCAGACAGAGGAAAGTAATTAGTGTGAGGCCGGGACTTGGAGCGCTACCGCTACGGTGGTGAGTTGGCTTTCTCCCCAGTTCACCCCTGTTGCTGCCGCCTCTTTGTCACGTTCATCTAATAGTGCATGCTTCTAACAGTGAAAATGTTGTTTTGTACGCTATGAAAATATGGATACAGCTCTTCTTGCGTGGGAACCAACGTTTCGAAGCGGCGTCACCATTCGTCGTTCCTTGTACGGGTGGAAGCGAACACGGGGAAAAGGATAGCATGGAACTCATGAACGACTCACAAATACAGATCGGTAGATCGCTCCTTCTTCAACTGGGGTGCACGATTAATGGCCAAAAGAAACAAGGAAGAAACGATCCCGCCCACCCCCTCCGTGTCCAATTTGCTCGGTTGCGACAACGACGATGTCCTACAGGAAATCAAGTCCATCTTGGCATCGCGCTCGGACCCTGACCCGATGAAAACCGTCCTGCTGCAGGAGTGTGAGAGGTACTCAGAGCACGGTTTTCGTTGTTTTTGTCGCCCACCAAGAACGTCGTTGGTTTTTTATGATATCGCTGTGTGTTCCGTTTGCTGCTGCTGATACTGCCGCAGCTGCCTTGGTTGGCGTCGATCGTGCTGTTCGTGTTTCTTTGAGGGCGGATTAAACGTGTAGCGCCTGACCTAGGAGCCCTCTCTGTCAGCTCAAGCGTAGGCAGTCGACCTACCTGTATAGTGTCACCAACCCACAGACACGCTTGTTTGTCGAGTAATGTTTTTTGTCTGGTAAGCACCTAGGGTCATCGCACGTTTGTATTGCCTAGAATTTGTTAGGTTGAATCGTGATCGAATTCGGCGCCGCGCTCCACCGATATTGCGTATCAAACACAATACAGGTATAATTCGCTTCTGCACGGAGTAGCTCGGCAGCTGGCTGATTTGAAAAAGGCCGTCAAGGGGCTGGTCGTTGTCACCCCAGAGCTGGAAGAGATATCCCAGGCGCTACTGCAAGGAAAAGTGAGATGCGGTTCCGTCGCTTGCTTCTCACGTGGAACCCCAAGGGTATATCGGCACATGCAAGGGGCGAAAACTCGGCAAAACACATGCGTTGATGCTTTAATCTTGTGGAGCATGAGGCCTACATGACTCACCCTGGAGTACAGTAAGGCCCATCTCTCCAGTAGCTGGCCATAATGAGATGCACCCATTTCCTCTAGCGAACATCCTTCCGAAAGGATCGTCTCTGCGTTGTTTTCCAAGCAAGTCAGCGCTACATAAGGCATGGCTGTTCCATGTCTTGGTATCACTCTCGCTTCCCGGGCCATCTCTCGAATACCTTCGCACCACCAAGAGTTGGAGCTCTATCTCGAGAATGGCCAGCACGACAACGTTCAATACAGCTTGAACCCTGCAAAACCTCGACCAGTGTGTGTTCCTCGTAGCACGTTTCAACCACCTCGTTTCCAAGACCAAGGTGCTGTATTTCAACGTTTCGTTGCCGTTATCGATGTGAAGTTCTCGTGTTCAATGCGTTACCCGAACGCTCGTCTTGCACCCACCCAGCCACCCCTGCCTCAACCCAAAGTTTAATCTTCACCCTCGAACCACCCCCTGGTCCTGCTTGCTGCTTGTCCTCACCGTGACCTTGTCCCTTAACACTATCGCTCGCCCTCACCCAGGTGCCAACATCGTGGTCAAAGTGCTACCCGTCCCTCAAACCCTTGGGTGCTTGGATGCGTGACCTCATCCAACGGGCGGAGCACATCAGGGACTGGGCTACCGTCGCAATGCCAAAAGTATTCTGGTTGCCATGCATGACATACCCCAGCGGTGAGCGAAGGCAACCAGAATACTTTTGGTGGTTTTCATTCACAGAATTGACCTTGAAACAAAACAAAACAGTGCTAACTGGCTGTACGTCATCTCCCCAGACGTACAGTACCGCGATACGTTCCAGCAGAAATACCGTACAACTTTCGTACAACGTATCACGTGTCCACTTTTCGGCAGGAGTAGAACTTTCGGCTCCATACAGGCGCTGGAGTTCGGAAAAAGGTAGGAAGTTCACCGCCTATGTTGGGTCATGCATGCTAGAAAGGTTTTTCTCGTGTTGACGACCTTGCCCCCTCTCGATCCATCTGCAATGTACTGTCTGTGTCTGGAAAGGTTTCCTGACCGCACTCTTGCAGACGAGCGCGAGAAAAAACGGTATCGCAATCGACACCCTGAGTTGGGAGTTTTCTGTGCTGGGGCAAGACACGTCGGCACTCAGCAGGTGCTGCTATCTCTAGTGCTGCTATTTCCAGTCGCACAGCCTTACTAGGTGTGCAGCAGCCCTGCTGGCTGGCAGGCCTCAGTCTCGCCACCTCGGACAATGCTCGTGTTTTCTGCCCCTGTTGCATCGACAATCAACCCGCAGACGACAGAGGTTCTATTCGAAGATTAACACCCGGTGTGGTTTGACTCGGCCCCGATAGTGGAACACCGGTGCCGCAACTACGGCGAGAAAGGGGGTGCGTAGTACTGCGACCGCGCTTGGCTACCCCCCCCGACCACCCCTCGACTCCCCGAGCCCCTGACCCCCTGATCTCTGGCATCATCATTTCGTGAAACCCCTCCGTGCCGCTGCAGTCACCCCAAGGAGGGCGCCTACTGCGATGGGTTGTTCTTGGACGGGGCAAGGTGGAATCGACAGGAGGGCTGTCTGGAGGAGCCCCCTCCGATGGAGCTGTTCTACCAGATGCCTGTCATTCACTTCAAGGTGCGGCTCTTGTTAGTGTTGCTGATGTTGTTGTTGATTGTAGCGATGGTTGTGTTGCTGATGCTGTGGCCATGGTGCTGAATCGATCACTGTACCCCAAACTCCAGGCAGCCCCATCATGTACCGTGGAGTGCTTGTGCCAGATACGTGTCACCTCAATTCCAGGTGTTAAACGTCTTCTCACTGGGTTTCCTGTCGCACGTAACGACCGGCAACGTTGAATCTTACAGTGCACCTATCATCATTGCACACAAGGGTCTATGTGAAAAAAAATCCAGACACATGGGCCAACCCCCCCTGCGGGAGGGCAATTTCGATTTCTGTCTTACATAGGCATTACAATAGAGAGCTTCGTTCACGAAAAACTGTCGTCGGCCCCCTTGCTGCCGAGGATTTTCTATCCGCGGTGCCTCTTACGAAAATATTTAGAATCTAGAGCCCCCCCCAATAATAGCCCCCCTTCCCCCCCGGTGTTTGCCATCGGGGTTGGGTTTTCGTCGCTTGGCAACGACGTTGTGAAACCAGCCAATTCACTTCGTGAACTCGGCAACCAGGTTCCCGTTTTTGTTTTTTACCTCCGTTTTTTTTTCTGGCGGTAACCATAATGGTGGTCGAGTAGATCATGTTGTGCGGGGTGGAGAACCCTCACTCCGCGCAAGGGGGATGATCGCACCACGTTGTGTTAAAATGGTCAAGCACCCTCGAGGCAGTTACACAGTGCTTACAACTGTCTCTGGAAGTGAAAGCACCAGAAAGTAAATTAATTCATACGCAGCTGTCATCCGTACGCAAGGAAGTAAGCACAAGATGCCGAACACCCTTAGCAGGATGCAGCGCACCCTTCATGCGACTCGCCGAATATCTCACGGCGCTTCGCGCTTGGTGATGTGAGAGCCTGGTCCGGTGAGAACCCGGCGTGCTCCGTCCCGGCTTTGTAGGGATGCGAGGTCAATGGTCTAACGACTACGGCATGCACGACTATGAGTACACCCCCCACCCCCCCCTCGGTGTTTGCCATCGGGATCGGGTTTTCGTCGCTTAGCAACGACGTTGTAAAACAAGCCAATTCACTTCGTGAACTCGGCAACCAGGTTCCCGCTTTTTTTTCCTCTGATTGTTTTTGGCGGTAACCATGATGGTGGTCGAGTAGATCATGTTGTGCGGGGT